GGTACGAGCAGGGGAGTCTGTGAGGAACCAAGGTACGAGGACGGAGTATCCGTCCATGATTTGTTGTATATGAATGTATGTATATGTAAGGTGTCCATTCCAAATTATGTACTTGTCCATTACCATTGGTTCCTCACCCCTGTTCCTACAATGTATTTATTGATGATGGGGTGAGGGGAAAGAGCAAGAGAAGAAGACGACGAAGAAGAAGAACAGATTCGCCACTATCTTATCAAGCGAGCGACCAAAAGGCTCAATCAAGCAAGGGAAGAAAAAGCGGAGTCGATGGGAAGTCAACAGTGGAAAAGGTAATCATGTCTCATGTGCCACGGACTTGCCGATGACACCTGCGGATACGAACGTCAGGAAGATTATAGATTACCCAAGGATTAAAATTATTAAAATAATTCGAGGAATTAATCAATTATGCATGGGCGGACCCTGACGGCCACTCCGTTCTGTGCCCATTGCTCTCTTTTCCCCCCCTTCTCCCCCCTCCACATGAACCCCCATGTCGATTGTCAAATTAAACAATCTATCCTTATTGAATAGATTAAATTATGATCCAGCCCTTGGGTAATCCTGACTACTTCTGTTCACTAATTTGAAGACCGGTTCAGGGGAAGGATGGATAGGATTACAGGGAAGATACCTGGTTAACCTGGATACCTGGAGTCCGGAGGGAATGGAAATCAGGAACCATAGATGGGGATTTCTCATAGGGCCAATGCATTGTGGGTTTTTGTTATTCGATTCATGTACAAATTAATGTATATGTATATTTATTTTTTTCTGTCACATTGGAGATTTATGACGATGCTGACAATGCTTTTTCCTTTCTTTCTTTTTTTATTTTTTTATTTGATTATTTATTATTGATTTTTCCTGATCAAACATGGTGACAAATCCGTTAGGAATGGATAAATAAATGAATAAATAAAAGGTTGATAATCAGTCAAATTAAACAACCCAGTTGTAAGATCGCCCTTTGATAGAGTTCAATCCAACCGTTCACCCCTTTCTTTGACTGTCAATCAAAACTTTCATAGGAGATTTAACAATGGTCTACCGGTCTGGCTGTCTGGCACAAAAAAATAAAAATGTGGTAGGAAAAGAATGGGCGGTGCAAAGCATCATGCAGGGTTAGCGGTAATATCCGTACAGGCATACCTAGTATACCAGACGTCCCTCGTACCATCCAAATGTGAGGAATAATACCGAGTACGAGCGAGGATCCAACCGTGGGGCTTCCTGGTTTCTTAGTTTCATCCCTGTTGACTGACGTATCCTCTGTATCCTCTGTATGGTATCTGTATGTATGGTTTGTATGTATGGTATGATCCCCTGCTCGTTCGGCATCTCCACTTATCCTCCCCTGGTTCCTTTTCTTTTCTTATTTTGGTCGATTAGATTGATTTATTTATTTAGATCATAAATTGTAATCACATTTATTTATTTGATTCTAATTTATCATTTTTTATTCTATCATTTTTATTTTTATTCTATTTTGTTAGTCCATTTTAGTGCCCCCTCCACATCCACATCCGCATCAGCATCATCATCAGCATCATCATCATGATTCTCGACATCATCCACTCACCCACACCACTTTGAATGGCCTTTTCTTAGCGTGATTTCTTACTTAGTTCGTTGATAGTCCGGTCTGGATGGTACTTAGTCCTACTCTGCTCATAGGGCCAGCGATCTCATATCATTTAACTACCCCCCCTCCCCTCCATTTTCTCTCTTGGGTCCGCGTGCTTTGAAATCCTCTTCCCAGTCTGTCAGGGAATATATATTCCTAGGAAGATCAGTGTGAATTAGAAGTGATCAGATCAAGAGATCCTTCATCCTTAATATCTATCTTTCCCTTCCCTTCCCTTCCCCTCCGTCTGTCTTGAACTTTCCCCGAACCACAACACCCTAACACCTTGCTTGCCTGAGGCTCTATACGATCTATCTATCGATCTATTTCTCTTTCTTTTCTCTTCAATCTTCATCCTCATTCCTCACTCTATTCCCCCATACCTCACTGTGTGATCTTCAAATACACCCACGTCCATTGCTTGGTTGCTGTTGTATGAACGAGACCCACTACTGCATACCTCGCACGCTTCACTCTGTCCAGTATTCCGACGCCACATTGGAAAAATCTTCCCCCTCAAACTGGTAGCTTTCCTCCTCGATTCTCTCCTATTAGCTCCAATTGTATGTTCCCCGCTCGGCCCGTCCCTTTACCCCAATCGTCTTCCCATATCAAGCCTCACCCGGGGCGTTGAATGCCTATGCTCCCCCCGCCCAACTGCTTGGAATTCTCACTCGATTCGATCTGGGGAAGATCCTTTCCTCCTGGGTCGGATCGTCACCCCCCTTGGATTCTCTCTGGATCATGGCAGTGGCTGACACCGAGTCCATGTAGAATTTGCTGCGCCCCCTTCCTCTGGCGACGGCCACCTCGCGCATCCGGCTCCCCACATCAGGGAACTACAGCCAGTCATCGCAAAGAGCGGGCATGCAAACCCAAAGGGACCATACCGACTTTGTACTTTTTCCTACGCAAGGCGTCGGTGAGAACAAAATGCTGGCCCTCGATTCCTCCAGACAGCAGCAGACACCGTATTTTCAACACTTCTCCATGGATCCCGCTCTCGTCGACCCCTTCGGCTTTCAGGCAGGTTCGTTGAGCGACTTCGGGCAAGCCCAGAATCCGTCCAATCTCCCCCCCTCGTCCTACTACGACACGCCGCCGGTCTATGCCGATCCCTACCCCGATCAATCAAAAGCCCCCAGCTACGCCTCGATCCCTGCAACTCCACCGCCGGTTCCCGTCTCCCAATCAGCGGAACCCTATATGCCCGGTCTGTCCACCGCGTCCGGGCCCTCCATTGCCAGCGCTTCGTCGTCAGCGATCGGGTCCCCTTATTCGGGCACCACCCATGCGATCCAAGACAACTGGGTGGACACCAACCACGGCCTGGGCCTTCAGTCTGCACTCATGAGTGATCTCCTCCCGACCGAGTACGTGGGGAGCGCTTTCGACGCGGATACCTACTATCAGAAGAAGAGCTCGGACAACTTTATCAGTGAGTGGCCTGAGTCTCGCCGATCTTTCGCGGCCTATCCAAAACCTAGCGTGCTGACCAAGGCCATCGTGCAATCTAGACCCGTCCCTGATCCAGCCCCTCCAGCAACAACCCCAGCTCACTCCCCCGGCCATCTCCTATCCCGAACAGTCTGATTACCATTTCTCTCAACCGACGTACAGCCACCATCAATCCCCGGACCCCTCCCAGCTGCAGCTGCCTGAAGACTATGCGGCACAGTCCCTGGCGCCGCAGGCACATCTGTTCCCGATGTCCTCCCCTTCCTTGATGCCGAGCAGCTCGCACAACGTCTCCGTGTATGACCGGCGCTCGTCCATCTCGTCGGTGCAATCCCGCCGGTCACAGCTCAGTCCGGCCGCCAGCAGCACGGACGTGGACGATGACACCAAGGAAAAGGGGCGGTGCCCCCACCCCGACTGCGGTCGCGTCTTCAAGGACCTCAAGGCCCACATGCTCACCCATCAGTCGGAGCGGCCCGAGAAGTGTCCGATCGCCACGTGCGAGTACCACCAGAAGGGGTTCGCCCGGAAATACGACAAGAACCGGCACACGCTGACCCACTACAAGGGCACCATGGTGTGCGGCTTCTGCCCGGGCTCGGGCTCCCCGGCGGAAAAGAGCTTCAACCGGGCTGACGTGTTCAAGCGCCATCTGACGACCGTCCACAATGTCGAGCAGGCCCCGCCGAACTGCCGCAAGCGGAGTCCAGTCGCCTCGTCCAACAAGAGCACTACCAGCTACGGTCACGACGCGACGGGCAAGTGCTCGACGTGCTCCGCCACCTTCGGCAATGCGCAGGACTTCTACGAGCATCTGGACGACTGCGTCCTCCGCGTGGTGCAGCTGGAGGAGCCGAGCGAGGCCATTAACCAGCAGCAGCTGGGGGAGATGGACGACGATGAGGAGGTGAAGAAGACCATGGAGAAGCACATGCTCCTCGATACGGCTGGCTCCGTTGAGAGGCACGACGACGAGCGGAACGACGACGATGACCTTTACGAACACTCTTCCACCCGCCGCTCCGCCAAAGGCCCCCAGAAGGCGACCAAGGGCAGCGGCCGTGTCACCTTGGGCACCAACAACGCCGTCTCGAAGCGCACCGTGTCGAAACGACGGAGTAACCGGGACCGCTACCCGCAGTCCTGGGGCTGCCCCAGCAGCAGCATCAAGACGAAGAAGCGCGTGCTCTGCGTGTTTGACGGCCAACGTCGCCTGTGGAAGGACGAGATGATGCTCGACAACGAGTTCGAGGTCCGCGTCAAGCTTCCCGGGGGCGCCGGCGACGGCACCAACCGAGACGCCTACATCACCGACCTGGACGTCGAAACGTTGAAACGCGCCGAGGGCGTCCTGAACGCCACGGAAGAGGAACGCGGTCCCTGGATGGAGGGGCCTTCCACCCACCTGATTGGACGACCGGCAACCATCCTGCCTGACATGTCTCTGACCCACGACCAGGCGGTGGATATCGACGAGCTTATTCCCGTCTAACCTGTCGTGTCTCCGTCTGTTGAATGTGCTGTGACTTGGAGCAAGAGCTTGTATTTTTTTTCTTTTTTTTTTTTTGAAAACATGATACCATTTGCTTTATTTTCTTATTTCCTGTGTTTGTCCCTTCCTTCTCTTTCCTTTGTTCTTTTTCAACGTGAATTTGAGTCACGATCATGTAAATATATTTGATGCCGTTAGCTATCTGCATGGAGCGATAGGGGAAGAAAAGCAAGCGTTTGAATACACTCCATTATATTCAATTGTCTAATCGATTGACTTCCCCAATATAAGCAACACCCCGTAGTGCCTTATCAATCACCGGATCGGCCGCTAAACCTGGTTCGGCCGGTCCCGCACTGGATCCTCTCGTCCGACCTTCGACCGTCGTCATTCTTTCATTCTCGCGTCCCAGATAGATCATCTTTCGTCCACACAGCCAGGATGCAATTGGGTCTCTCGGAAAACCTCTCCAGCCTCGTGGCCCGACGCTTCGTCACCGCCAGAGATGCAGGCCATCTCATTTTCTCCGAGACACATCTCACAACCGTCTACGCAGCGGGGATTCCGGTACGTCAATCAACCACACTGCCTAGCCGCGACGAGAAAATCATATGGTACACATAGCTAACGACGATGGTTCCGGAATAGTGTCAACTTCGCTACTGTCCCGCCCTAGCGAAGAAACCCTCCGGCACACCGAAACCCGACCAAGGCCGCACAGGACCCAAACCAGATCCCTTCCACGACCCGTCTCCGGAGCTCCTTGTCGCGCAGATCCCACCCTCCCACCTCCTCGTGCTGAACAAGTTCCCTGTCATTCCCAATCACTTCATTCTCGCTACCAAAGCGTGGAAGTCTCAAACGGATATTCTTGAGAAAGATGATTTGGAAGCTGCGTATGCTTGTATCAAAGCGTGGGATCCCAGCGACAACAATAACAACAGCCCCGCAGGCGCCGCCCCCGCCCCCCGCCCGAGACTCTTCGCCTTCTTCAACTCCGGCGATGAAAGCGGCGCTAGCCAGCCTCATCGGCATCTACAATTCCTCCCTGTTGAGGCCATGACACAGGATAGTGGCGACGGTGACGACTGGCGACCTCTCATCGACGCGGTTGCGCAGTCTCCTCCGCCCACGTCTGGCCCCCCCTACCGTCGACTAAGCCAGCTCCCGTTCGCGCACTTCGCCCTCCCTCTCTCCGAGAATCCCTCCGCAGACGAACTCCACTCGACATACCTAGCCTTATACCGCGCAGCGGTCGCAACCTTGCCTCAAAACCACAACCACAACCACAACCAGAGCCAAGACCCCCCAACAACCGGCCCCGCAGCAATAAGCTACAACCTCGCAATGACAGAATCCACAATGTTGATCTGTCCGCGCAAGAGCGAGAGCGCCCAGATCGCAGTGGACAACGGCACGAGCGACGAAGTCGCTGAGGCGGGCGTCGTCGCATTGAACGGCACCATCCTCGCTGGGACGCTCATGGTGAAGGCCGAGGCGGAATGGAATGAGCTGCGGCGGAATCCGGAGTCGTTGGCGGGTGTGCTTGCTGCGATTGGGTATCCGCATCCGGATTTGAGATTTTTGTCGTTGTTGTGATTTGGCTGGGTATTGTCTGTTGTCAGAGGGGGGCGTGAATTTGCGAGTTGAAGGCTACGGTAGATAGATAGTTGTATACCCGACTGCCGTATCATAGAATTAGAAGATCGACTTGAACTGCCCTGGACACGAAGAAGAACGTTCCATGAATGAGGTAGCGAGCCTTCGATATATTTCTCTTACTGCTATTTACCTTTCTGCCTTGCACATACTACAGAGTACACCACACTAAACACCACAAACCCAATAACCTACCCTATAAAAGAAGGTCTATCAGTGAATAAACTATCCACAACCCCAGCTCCAACGAGCGCACACTTAACACACGTCTACAACGAGAAAAAAGGTTTCATGCAGAGTACACTACACTAAGCCCCACGAATCCAATACTCAACCCTTGACAACTGAATCTATTGAACAAAAATCTATTGATAAACTATCCACGCAATCCCACCCAGTTCCAAACAAGACAAGACGACAAAACAACAAGGTAGCAAAACAACAAAACAACAACACACCCAACAACACACCCTATCTCCCACGCAACAATAACAAAAAAATAAAAAAAAAGGAAGCCACCCATTATACTACAATCCACCCCTCCCAATCCAACCCCATCTCCACACCGGGGTACCACTAATATTCAACCCCATGAACCTCACACCACTTCTTCTTACAAGTCGCATTCCCAAAATGATACGATCCCCCATGCGCCCGTATATACTGCGCTACCTTCTTCCACGAGACCCTCGGCGCCTGGGGGCGTGTTGAGCGGTGGGGCTGGGTGGTGCGTTCTGCGTGGGTGGTTACCGCTTCGCAGAGGAGATTGATCTGATGACATTGAGTAGTCAGTATCCCCGCCAGATCTTGAACGTCTATACGCGGTGATAAAGATGAGACAAGAAAAAGGGAAATAGAAGATGATAGGGTAAGAAGATGATAGGGTATAAAGGGGTAGGAGGGAAACATACATCCTTCTCACTCCACATCGGCTTCCTCACGCGCTGATCCTTCGCCTTCGTGAGTGTCCTAAACCTACCCCGGAGAGTCGACTCCGCTTCTCGGAATCCGCCGATTCGCTTGATGTCTTTGTAGGAGAGGCCCCGCCGCTTGTACTCTATTAAGAGAGCGTTGCGCGTGTCGATTTGGCAGGGGATGGATTTGGCGGTTGGTTGTTCGGGGCTGGAGTCGTTTGCGAATGCGAGCTTTGGATGTCTGTGGATGTACTCCGCGTAGTAGGTGTTTGGGGTTGGAATTGGGTTTGGGGCTGGGTTTATGTGGTAGGAGAGAGGGAGGATGTCGGCTGGGAGTTGGAATTGACCGGTCATGGGGTGGTCTTTGGTGAGCGGGATGCTGAAGGGTTCTGGGCGGTTGGGTGTGGTTCGGATAGGTTGTTGTTCTTGGTGGTAGTACCGCTGGTTGTGGTTTTGGTATTCTTCTGGGGGTGGGAGGCCATTTGGAACCCTAGGAGCTGGGTCATAGTGACTTGTTGTTGTAGTTGCTACCGGGAGGAACGGTGTCGGTTCATCTGGGAATTGCTGTGTAGAGGGCCAGAGAGCGTGAGTGTCCCCGTACGCAGGCTCCTCCTGACTCATGTCGATGCCTGTCTGGGCGTTGAACGCGCTCCACGAGAGAGGCGTCACCGCACCGCAGGAGCTCCCAAATGAATCAGTGGCCGTGCCCACCGACGGTGAATCCTGTAGCATAGAGCCATCCGACAGGTTTCCAGCTGCCCAGCTAGTGTTCTGAGAAACAGGCTTACACTCATCGTCTATAGACCCGTCATACGAGCAGACGGACGTTTCAGAAGCAGCTTGTCTATCGAATCCAGGCACCGCCTCAACGCGCAACCCACCCATGTACGAATACAAACCAGGTGGATCGCAGACTTGCGGGGCCAAGACGCAAGGAGGATCATGCTCGTGCTCATGCTCGTGGCCATTAGGGCTGAGACTGAACCCGCTGCTGGCTGTCTCACTCTCCGACTCGGAATACGAGGTGATGGACGATCCTTCAATCGGGCCGTGGACATCTGACGACGCCGATGGTATGGGTCCGTATCCGTAGTCTCGGGCCCTGTCAGGCGGGAGTATCGACCCGCTTCTATCGAGATGTGCGGTTGATTGACTTCGGAGATCGTAGCATCGCGTTCTCTTTTGACTGGTTTTGAATGTGGAGGGGCTTGTCGACCAGAAGCTGGTGCTGTGTTTTTCTGGGGGGTGTTCCGCGTGGAATACCGTGTTGAAATTTGCTGACTCGTTCTCCATGTCTAGATATTGCTTCATTTGATGCTGGCTAGGGTAGATTGTCGGCTCGGCAAGCGCAGTCGGGTTGTAGATATCAGTCGGAGATAACAACATATTCCCAAAGCCTTCCATGGAGAGGAAGTAAGGCTCTTCAGACGGGGGAGTCAAAAGAAAAGCGTTCTCGAAAGCCAGCCCTGTCTTAGAATGCTGATGACGGGGATCGACAACGCGAAGCATCATCGTCGATTTAAATTGAGACAGCCAGCCAGTCAACCACTCTATGGACCGGCCACCTCACCGCTGCCTGCCTACACCCGGTGTCTCGATTTGCCAGATACCAGATGAGGCCCGCGTGTGTGTATCGGAATTAAAGAGTCTGATTCATGCACGATATGCTTGGGGGACGGCTGCAGATTTGTGCGTGCTGTTACTTAGCATGTATGTCTGCTGATACACTCTCTGTGGATGGGTTTCAGGCCATTGCTGGACTTACCTGGTGCATGAAGGTCCGTCGGAATTGGGCTGCGATGTCTTAGACGTTGGGCGTTGTCTCTAAAGCAATAGGGAAAGTGTTGGTGTCTATGGGTGGGCTCGGACAATGGGCATGAACCTTGGATGATTGTGTGAGATGTGAAATAGCGGTAAGATTGTTCTCTGTCTTTCGATGCTTTGAGCTTTGTTGCTTTATGCTTCTATGCGTGGGCGCGTCCACGATGCGGTTTAGCGGGTTACTTTCTTTGGGATGTGCAGGTGAGGTAATGCGTTGATGTCTCAGTTGTTGATCTTTCAGAGGATATGGTTTTCAGGAACGAGAGCCAGCAGAATCTGGAAGACGCCCTTATATGGGATACTGGTGCTATGTATGCTGATAGGAACAACACTGTGCTATCCAGATAGGAGGGAAGTAAAAGATCTATGATCCAAGAAGGAAGAACGACAAGACAAAATATCAACCTCGAGATATCAACCACCTTTTAATAAAGCTCCCCACGGGACAGACACATGCCCACCCTTCCAGGTACAAGCTATTGAACCAGTAGTACAATCAGTAGCCATCATCTTTCTCGTACCAAAGATGTTGTCCCCCTGAGTTACAACCGGGGAGTATGATTATGACCCCTTTTTCGTGCCAATAAGCCAGCATAGACGGAACGTCGGGCACGGGGGAAAGGGTAATTTCTACCAGATCCCTGCCTCGGCGAACAATTGTGACAATTGACAAGTCTAACGGTGTCGCATGGTATACTGTAGGCAGGTGTGTGCAGTACAGGACTGAAGAGGGACAGCCGGCCGTCTGTGGCGTGAGGGCTAACAAAAGTACGTCAGAACAAGATATTTTTATTATTATAAATGAAAAAGAAAGGAAAGAACGCACCGACAAAATCCCAGGATGTTTTCCCAGGATGTTTTACGGGATGGTCAATCCAAACCTGCTAGTCGGGTACATACATACCTCCATATAGAGGGCAACGTCTGTTCGTGCATGCCGTGCCATCCACCGCAGCCACAGACCGGGGATATATCTCAACGATTGGTTCCGAGGTATAGGGGACGTTTGACCGGAGGATTCGGATGGGCCCGTTGCCATTCATTCATCATTCTATGGGGTGGCCTATTTATTTTTCCCTGGTCGTATAATTGACGGTACTATTTGCTGTTAGTAGTTGACGGGTGGGTGGGATGTCTGCATATGCAGGTCACTAGTCAGAGCTTGTTGATCAAACTTGATGGATTTGTTCTGGGAGATAGGTCGAATTGCATACAATGGAATTCTTACTGCACTTTTCCCCTTCCTTTTCTGTGTCTTTTCTGTATTCCAGTCTTTGCGTTTTCTTTGTTATTATGATCTAGGGATCATTGCATGGAGTAATTATAGTAATATTAACACTTAGTCTCGTTGGGTCGGCATGGATACATGAATTATGGTAGTCAAACCAGCCGAGGTCAAGACCGATAGATTGAGCTTGTCTGTTTTTCTTTCTTTCATCTCGAACAAAGAAAAAATAGAAGGGAATAAGAAGAAAAGAGAGGAAAGAAAGAAAATCAAATAAATGAAAGCCAAGACTTCTCGGTTTGTTCCGTGGTGGAATCCGGAATTCCACATCCGATGCAGGATGGATTGATGGGTATAGTCTCCTATCCTGGGTTTAATAACAATAATATGATTGATTTGATACTAAAATGAGATATACTCAATGGAAATGATAAAGCAGAACGAGGAAAGAAGAGAGGAAGGGTGACAATGAAGAAGAACAGGATGCATATCAAGGTACGACATATGTATAAACATATAGAAGTGTAGAAGGAAACAGAACGTGGAAAGAACAAAGCATCTATTTTGAATAGTAATAACTGAATTAGTAAATAAAAAGCAAATCTAGACCGTTTCTACAGATTGTCTGCTGTCACATTCATAGAATACTGATTATATTCTTTAGGATTCTTTATCTCTATCTATTCTCCTACTCTTCCCTGCATGCTTCTCTTATTTACACACACATACGCATACACACACACACACACACACACACAGAGGACAGGACTGTGTGAGTGTACAAGACAGTCCATCCAATATATGATAGGTAGCAGTAATAGTAGCAGTATATGCAGCACCACCACACCAACCACACAAATAAGCCCCCCGCGCACCATCCCCAGCAGAGCCTTGCCTGCTTGCTAGCTAGCTAGCTTGCTACTCCGTACTCACTACTCGCCATATTCCCTGCTCACATGTGGACAAGTCTATTCACCACATATAGCAGAATACAACCCCGATCCATCCCTCCAGTTCGGCTTCGAATCCGTGTAGCTGCACTTTTTCCTCTGTGTGTCTCCCTCGAGAAGGGAAGGAGATAATCCCAGACCACTGTGTCTGTCTGGGGTTGCACTGTGTGAGGTTCTCGATTCTTACTTACTCCAAAATCATATACGTACTTGGATAGGTACATACATTGTATACCATGCCAAGAGAAAGTAGGGCTAGCTCACTACATGTAGTTACAATACTACGTACCCTGCTTTCTTTCTTTCTCTTCTTCTCCCCTAGAAGAATGTTCGGAGACAAAAAATAGAAAATATGAGTATCACATATTCATTGATTGAAATTTGAATCCCACCCCTGTCATCAGAGTATCCATCCGCCGTTGATATGTCCGCTCCCGCGTCTTCGGTTTGCCGTTGATCTCTATTTACTGGTACTAGAAAGAAGTCTTTGGACTTTCCCCACTGTGGCCTCAAGCCCAGATGCTTTGCCCGTCGTACAGGACGCAAATCACTCAATTATTCAAACAGTTGGAATGCTTTATGATTATTATTTTAGTTATTTTATTTTATTCATCCCGGGTTTGGTTCTTTTGTTCCATGATCCATTGCTAATAATCTCCTAGGGAATCTTCTTCCCGCCTTGGCTTGCGCGCTTTCTTTGTCCCCACATTCCTCCTCGCAAAGACGGGGGTTGTCCTATTCTTCTAATCCTCTTACGAACCGACAACCGACCTATTCCAGCCTATTGTTTTGTATCATGCTGATATCCTTCGAGGTCATCACTCAAATCCTCCATATCACCGATTGGGCATAACCACAGTGTACGGAGTACACAACCCAAACCGGATCGTTATGCCGGTTGTTGAACACGCAGTCCCCTTTCAAATTGATATGTGCACATCGTGGACTGGTCCGCTCACGTTCCTGGCGCTTTGTCCAGAGTCTTCGTCCCAGGATGGATCGCTTCTTCCATCGTGTCTAATACAGATCATGGTGACTTCGCTTTCCTGCGTCCGTCGGGCTCGTGCCTGGGCTCCGTACTGATCCAATAGTCGGTCTGTCAGTAGCGCTAGATCCCGTCAGTTATTCTTCAGATGATAATCTGTTTTTTTCTTTGTAAAAAAAAAAAAAAGGAAAGAAGAAAACACCCACCAATGAGTAAGGTAAAGGTAAAAGCGTACATGATGACAGGGGACGTCATGAAAGCATATGCAAGCGCAAAATACCGAATGAAGCCGACTAGACACGCCAAAATCATCCCCAGCGCCATGCGAACGCCTATCCTGATGCCAATCTCGCGCCGGGGCCGACTGCGCGAATGCGCGAGTGACACGAACGCGGCGAACAGAAACATGGCCAGCGACGCTACCGCAAAGAAATACATGTAGACAAACCCCAGCACCTCCATGTACATCCTCAGGAGCTGGTCGCTGGTCATTTGGTCCATCCGCGACCCCTTCGACGGCATCACTCCCATACTGGTAAACAGAGCCGCTGTCACATTGCCTACCAGATCGTTTAGGAGCTTATTAGTCACGGAGTAGCTGATGACCTCCGAGGTCATACATAGCGGGTGGTTCGGTAGGTCCCCGAGAATCTCAGCTATCGCAATCTCTTGCGCGATTGCGCCCCGGCTATAGTTGATCTCCATGTCTTCAATGGTGCTCCGCAATAGGCCAATGGCGGTGTCCGACGGGGGCCGGGGCTCTTCGCATGCAAACATGATCGTTTCCGTGAGGTACGTGAGCTTCAGGGTAATGTCCAGGGTCAGGGCAAGGATCTGAGAGCCTTCCAGGAGAAGAATAAGCACCACGTGGAAAGGGTAATGGAGTTGCGCCCATATTTGCTGGGAGTACTGTCCCAGCGACTGTCTCGGAGACAAGTCAAAATAAGCCTGCCACGAAAAGTACTAGTCCATGGATATCAGCATGACCGAAACAAAAAGGGCGGACTGGATAAGGGAGGCCGTTGACACCTTACCACATTTAGGGTGACACCCAGGATATGGACAAACGACCACTTGGTCCAGCCGCCAGGCCGGACCGTTTTGTTGACAATCCTAGTGACCGCGATGACTCCTTCGCCAATAATGATCAAGGTGAGGAGTCCCATCCGCACATTTAGATGAGTCTCGTGGAATCCTATTCCTGGCGTGGAACAGGATATCCCCATTGTCAATAACGTCTCCAGCCCGAACAGGACCCCCCAAACGATCCTTATGTAGGATCGTAATTCGGTACGTTCCCTGAAGGCCCAGAACATCTTGAGAAACGTCAGGCTACAAATGATCCAGATATCGCCAGGATTGTTCCCGCGGAGTGAGACCTACTTACCCCTAAATACACCAGGCTTGAGGCCAGCAAGGTGGCTGCTATCAGAGACACACCCCTGGAGGCGGGCCTCATCCGCTGACGGAGGAAACCAATATTGACAGCGTACTGCACGGACAACAAAGCTCGACTTCCCCCCAGGAAAAGACTCAGTGACTGGAATGCCCAGACATTCTCATCCTGCACACGCGTAGTCAACCGGGTGCCAGCAGATGCAAATCCCACCATCGCAGCGAGTTGAATGGCCTTGCATATCCGTTCAAATATGGTGTCCCTGGCGAATCGAGTGTCAAAGAGCGTCACCTGGAGCCAGGTAAACCATATCACTGCGAGAAAGCCTATGTACGCGCCCAGCGCTAGTATACAGCGACGTTAGACTGAAGATGAATAGCAATAGCACCATAACATTGCTCACACCTTCTACATTGTGAATTTCATGGGTCGCTGTGAACGTGGATAGGTTGGCAACGAAGAAAAGGTCAAAGAATAACTCTATCGGCGTCGCGTCGGAATGGCGGTAGAGATGCGGTGGGTCGCCATCATTTTCGTCAATAGGCGTTTCGATGAACGGGATGCCTCCGTACCGAGAACTATTTCCTCACGTCAAACTAGCGAACCCAGTTCAGATGTGTTTTTGACTCACTGCGTGGTTCTGCTGACAGACGCTGTCCTACGCAGGGGTTGGCGAAAAAGAGCAAGAAACGGTGGCGGTGTCATAATTCAATAATCTATCATACAGAAGCGGTTCGATGGGTATCATCAATGAATGCAAGTGGGGCTGACTGGTGGTCATCGATGGGCGTCAAGGTATCAACCGGAGCAACATGTAGATTCGCATGTCACCGTGGCCGGAAAGAACGACCGCAAGCAATGCCTTCGCAAGTCGGTGGTCTCAATGAGACGGGTTTGTGTAAATCCACGATACCAATAGATCACGTCGCGTCTTCAGCGTTGTCTCGTGTTATATCCATCGCAGAGCCAATCGTTTCTAGTCCTCGCTCACCTGACGCATCGTTTTCTGGTCCCGGAGCAGCGCCTGCCTCCTGCTTAAGCCTCTCATAGTTGTCACCAGCTTCTTTGATCAGTGCCTGGATTTCCACCTCCCGGGTGGCTATGTCGGCCTTCTCTTTCCTGAGATCTTCCATTCGATTGATCATTTGGACCTTCGACTGGTTCATCACAGCCAGCGTCGTCCTTAGGCGATCCAAGCTGTGTGAAAGTTGCGGAAGCGAGGTCATCCTCGGCGGCGTCTTTGGTCGCTCTATCTGGTCCTTACCACCATGTCCCATGGCGGCTCTTGTTTGAGCAGCCTCGTAGGCTGCCTTTTCCTCCAGATCAGTATCATCCTCATCAGACAGCCCTTCGGCGTCATCTATGAGTTCTCGCATTTGTTCGCGCTGCTTCTTCTTGTGTTCGCGCTCGGCCCTCTTTCCAAGAGATATACGGCCATCTTCAACGAACTCGTCGAAACCCTCCGCGAAATCCTCATCGTCCCGCAGCAGACGCGTGTCCTTGGAATCTTCCGGCTTATTATTGGGGTCCCAGTCTTCGTCGGATACGTTATCGTCGAGCGAAATGAAGTCCTTCTCCGTTCCGCCGTATTCCTGCTCTTTTGCCAAGCGCGCTCTCCTAGATTTCTTCTCTCTGATTTCTGCTTCGCTGGGAATCGCGGACGGCGCCGACACTTGCATCACTTCGCCAAATTTCGCAGCGACATCTATCGTTCTCTCTTTCCCATCATCGGCAGGGGGTTTAGGCGTCGATGGTGTCGAATGTCGGAGCTCGTTGAGGTGCTCACTGCTGTAACTTGGTCGATCCTGTTCCGGACCAACCCGCATCGGAAGAGGACTGGCGATTCCAGATGGTGTTGAAGACCGCTGCGCAGCACTTTTTTCTATAGCCATTCTTCCCAAGCCGTGTCGTTTAGGCATCACCACTTCACTTTCCTGTGCGCCATCGTCATCGGTCATTGAGGTTCCACCGGGGCCGAACGAGAGACGTAATTTCGACTTTTGTTTTGTCTTGGTGTTGGTCGGTCGCTTGACAACAGGTCCGTTATCTAGTAATCGATTAGAAATGCTCCATTAATCTCATATTCACGTGGTGGCGCGCTCATGGTCCAGGCACGACTTACCTTGCTCTTCTTCGCCCCCCTCATCATCCCCACCAACCTTGCGCGGTTTCCTGCGATTCGCAAACTTGGAACTCATAGTCGCGACTATCAGTAATCAAATGATCCCAAAACAAAACACTTATTCCGTAAGAGAAAAGAAAGCCAAGGATCACCGTAGAAGAGACGTCACTCCGCACTCCGCGACACTTTGAAAGCTTGCGGGAACAACGTTCTCCCGACCCAGCTTTATCGAGCCACATCCAAAGTCCGCGGCGCGCGACAAGATCCCCAACATCCCCGACCAGACGTCCCTCGCCAGAAACAACCGCCAAGATGCCTCAAGCCCAGCCCGAACTCAAGAAGGTATGTTGTTGCGAATCTCACCTATTATGGTTTTACGAGCGGAATGGCGAGCTGACCCGCTTGGTTTTGGTTTCAAACAGTACATGGAAAAGCGGATATTCTGCCAACTGAACGGCAACCGCAAAGTTATCGGCATCCTGCGAGGCTACGATGTACGTGGATACGACCTGAACCTTTCCTTTCTATCGATTTGTCTCGAGCAGATTTTACTGGGTTGGGAGTTGTTTGGATAGCAGGACTGATAATAGGCTCGCAGGTGTTTATGAACATTGTCCTCGACGAGGCGTTTGAGGAGAAGCAGGGTGGAGAGAAGGTCGCTATCGGCATGGTGGTGAGTACTGGGATCACGGCTTTGACATGATTTACAAAGGAAGGGACTAACAGCGATCAAGGTCATCCGCGGTAACTCGGTCGTGATGCTGGAGGTAAGTCTTTCCAGGCCCGTATTCGCGTCCTTTGGATAGGTAACTAACGAGAGATTCAATGCAGGCTCTGGAACGGATAAGCGATAAATAAACGGCCAAAGGGGTAGATTTGGTCTTCGTCGTGGGGGTTTTCTTAATGCAACATGGAGTTCACGGGTCAGCTTCTTCTGGAACGATCGAAGGCAATTTCGATGTCATCGCTTATTTGTTTTACGAAAATTAAAATACACATGCACTTTTTAGAGATATTAAGGGCTTTGATTTGGAAATTTGAATTGTTGATGAGAATCTGATGATTGTTATGCAAGACATCAATCATGAACAATGAGGTTGGCGAAATGACGCACGCTAGAGACGGGCCCCAATCTTCCCAGGAGAATCATCGGACTAAAAGGTAAGAGAAAGCAACATCATGTGTAGAAATAAATAACCTCAGCAACTTCAATCCCTTCCATGGCGCCGTGAATATCGCGTTGACCAACCCCCCCCCCAAAAGTCATAAGAAAAGATACCAAAGAAACAAACAACATCAAAAGTGAAATATAGGATACAAGGTGTGGGAGTAGTCGGCTTATTGTTATGGCCGGCTAGGTTGGCTTCTGGCCAATTTTGAGCTTCAGCTTGAGCCCACCACCAGGAGTGGACGGTGTAGCAGGAGTAGCTGCGGTTTTGGGTGTGGATTGAGGGGCGGGAGAAGAGAGTTTCGGTATGTGCAGCTTGGGAAACTGCTGGGGGGCTTTCGCTGATGACGGAGTACTGGGCCCAGTCTTTGACTGCTTGAATGTGATGCGAGTTGGAGGTGGAGGCATCCCTGGTTCCTCTCGTTTGCGCTTTCCAGCGGTCGAGTCCTTGGACGGCGTGAGAGTCGTGCGCACTTTGTTGGACCGGGTAAAATGTAGACGTCCCTAAGCCGTATGTTAGCATAAATCAAGGCGGGAATTGAGAAAACATGTTACGAACCTTTCCAAGGTGCTTCACTTGCCAGTACCGCGGGTACTTCAGAACCACTCTAACCGAAGTTATCGGGTCATACAAGACTGAGCTGAGATCGACAAACTCAGAAAGCTCAATTATCCCAATATAGGGAGAATTGCAGGCAGCCCATAAAGATTCCTTCAAGGTTTGGTCTCCAGAAATTTCACGCTTGAGGGCCTCCAGCGCGCCTGGCACTGTTTGTCTCCGAGCAAGGTCTGCTTGGCGGACATCTGTAGAGGATTCTTGCTCGATGATCAAACCCTCGTTCTGGGCAGGGGCCTCTTTGTTCGACTTGTGGCCAAAGGCGATGGGCGCAAGTGCCTTCCCAAGTAGTCCATGAAGTCGTCGCCTAAGCCAACGAGATGTATCACTTGACATGGTGAAAATAAACCATTTTAAAAGTTCAGGGCTTCTAAAGATATCGAGTTCAACCAGGCACTCAAACGCGTCAGCTCGTAGCAGATCATAGGTCCCCGCGCGAGTATACGGCAGAAACTGCATCACATCGAGTTCCGATATATTGGCCTGCATGAGTTGCATCTGACAGCGCAAGGCTGCTCGAGAATAGACGTTCTGAAATGAACTCGACCATTCATCCATCCTTCGGTACCTGTCAATTTCTGCCAAGGCATCCTTTTCGAGTTGCTCCTCTTCCTGGACACGAATGATACGCTCCATGTCAAAGTCATCGATGTCGTCCGAGCGCTGATCACTCTTCCCCAACATTGCATGACACAGTGATTGCATCAAGGTCGCAACGTAGAAGTTGTCCGAGAACTATGTCGTATATAAGCAGGTGATGATGTTAGGCAACGTGGGGGACACATACCTCGTTATTTGAGTTGTCGTTGAATCTTAATTTATCATATAAGAAGCGCTTGACATCCAGCGGAGTCTTTCCGGCTTTGTCGCGGACCTTTGAGATGGCATCGGGGATGACAAGCTGAAGAATGTATGCAGCCCTGTCAGAGAAGTCGTTCGATCGAGTCATTGCTGACCCGGGAAGACAGAAAAGTTCCCTAAAAGCCCTCTCCAAATGGTAGAGTCCAAGCCAATTAATTTCTTCTTTGGCATGTTTGATTAAAGACCGTGCTGCGGTTGCACGAATCCCGTAGTAGTATCTTCGATCCATAAGAGTTCGGACAAAGATTGTAGAAATCAACGGATGTTCTCTCTGGGCTGCCATGTATTGTAAAGACTGTGGGAGAATCGACATTAGTAAGTAGAAAGGAAGTAAAGAAGCTCATTGACTCACCTCTAGCTGAGCAACAACATCCCGATCTTGTTGGAGCTGGGAGAGATACATGTACCCAGGCATGACCAAGGATAACTTGCAGATCCACTCAAAATCAGCATCCATTCTGATCCATTCGTAGGATTCTTGCCCCATCCGTTCTTCATCTTCTTTGCTCCAGTCGGCCAGTCGCCATTCTTGCATTTCCTCTTCGCTCTGCAATACATCTCCCAGACAATACAGTAAGACATCCTCCTGCACTTCTGTACCGGGTTCACCACCGATGACGGCAGCTGCGCGCTCTTTTTGTCGCTTGTTCCGCTTCAGCCTTTTATACTTGGTGTTGTACGGTATTTCAAATTTCGTGACGCCTTCTTTGATTTCAACAATGTGCTCGTAAGGCGTGCCATCAGCTTCGTGAATCCTGAGGGTCATGGAGCCGGTAAAGACGGGCTGAACATGGCCGGCATAGACACTGCGGACTTCCTCTTTGACGTCGCGCATGAACGTGTTCTTGTCCAAATCCCGCGTGGTCGGTTGTTCCGACTGCACTTGCCGGATCATCATTTCGACGACCAGCTTCTTCTTGTTGAATCGCTGCGTGGCTTGGAACCGAGGACACCCGGCGCCATAAACCCACTGCTGGAAGTACGAGTCTAGTTTCGCGTGACCGAGTCGTTCGCAGGTCTTTTGAAACATGGAGGTTGTCAACGCGCCATTGGGTATATCGCCCGTCCGCGAATTCAAAAAGATGCGAGAAATGATACGAGGCATCGTGGACTTCCCGCTTGCTTTCGTCAAGCGTCTGTCAAGGATGAACAGAACAAGTGGAGCCTTGAGGGCGATAAATTCGATCTCTGACGGATCGATCTTCAGTATAGTCCCCATGTCATAGATCGACGGACGCTCATAGTCCAGGTCACACACTTTATCCGACATCTGCTTCAGTCGGAATCGATACTCGTTGTTGCCACAAAGTTTTCTCATCAGTGTATCCGTAATGTACCAAGCAATGCCAACGGTGACCCAGGTGTCCACGGGCTCCTTGGGAACGATGTTGACGCCGATCCACTGACATGCTAAAGCATGAACTAGCGCGCGCGTTGAGTCATCTATCGGATCAATGATCCCTTCAGGGAACAGGAGATGGTTGCTGCATATCGACAGGCAAGCCGTTGGCGCGGTGTCTTCGGGGGTATCCTCCACAAAACACATCTTGTAGCTTGTGAACGGATAAGAGCCATATGTCAAAGAGAAAAAATCGATCGCCTTGGCCATAGGAAAGCATGTGTTCCGCACATCATCCCCCCTTCCGGGGAGACAAAAAGCATGAACAGGGATCGCATTCTGTCCTAGTTGCTCATCTTGATCACTCTCCCGGAAATCCGTCAGGTTAATATACTCGAAAGGGCCCACAGCGAAGCCTACTTGCTGGGCGGACAGCGGAGAGTAGCATGCAAAGGAGACTGTCTTTTTGCTGGGATCGAGCGCATCGACGATCTCATCTGTCATATCTCCCGAGCAAACCACCGATAGATCCAACGTTTCATCGTCCGGAGAGATATATCGACCAACAGAAGACTTTGATCGACCCGATCCATGCGCTCCCGCGGTCTCCCGAGATTTCCGACTGAACATATCCCCCAGGGAGCACGGGCATTTGATTGAAAACTCCCAGGTGCAGCGCGAGGAAGGGTCATCGACACAAGGGAACAGAGGGCACCCGACTCCATATCCGAGCGAATTCGTGGTATAAGCATGCGGGTATCGCCTGTCGCCATGTTCGACTCCAACAAACTGCAAGCCATCGCGTATGTTGTCGATGGCAAATTCCACATATACTGTCAAGGCCGTAAACCGCGGAAGAGCGCTTTCTGTTGCCTTCGAACTCATAAGCCCCTCATCATCCGCAGCAGCAGTCCCCCGCAATACCAGCTGGTCTTGAGCTTCGACGGACAGAGGATCAAGCTCCTCGATTCGAACACTCTTCGGGATTGTCAGAAGGAGCTCTGGCTCCGGGGGTGTCTTGAGCAAGCCATCAATCTTCGAGAATAAACGAGGATGGTATTGAGGTCCGTATAGATGAAGGGTCTCGTAGGGGTCCACATATTTGCTCGTGGGCACCTTTTTGCTGATATTCAGTCGCTTGAGCTCGCCCTGGCGAAAATTTAGGCGAATAGTCCGGAGGTCTCTGTGATGCGGATGGATTGTGATTTCTGTTTTCCCCTTGAGACTCTTGCTCGCAAAATCGATCTCTAACTCGACCTTCTGGTGTGCGACCGTATATCCCAGGCCTGGTGAAACAGGACCGATGGGAGTGTCGACGACGCCTGGCATGGCGCAAAATACTCAGCCGTACACCGCGCCGCGAGCGCCACGTTGATCATCTACCGTCATGTCCAAGCTCCAAGAGCGATCGTCAAAATTATCGGGGGAGGTTTTCTTCGACAGCGATTCAAGCGGAGGATGATAAGCGATCGCGTAGGTAGGCGAAGGGAGTTGCAGGTAAGGTGCTGTTCCTAGCGGGGAGAATGAGATGGTCCGGAGGTAGGTAGAAATGGGGGAAAAGGTTTTCAGAAAAGTCCCATAATAAGAAACAAATGAATGAAAGACCACTGATAGACAGTGGTATACTTTGAAGTGAAGGGGGGGAGCAGTGGCAAGCTCACAAAACATTCACTCCGTCGTCATTCAGACCCTCACGTCGCGTGTGTCGGATCCAGAATCCAGAGCTGCGGAGCTGGGCCGCCAACACGTGATTGATGGCCCTTTTTCCGAGGGGAGAAAGGAAGAGGCGTCGTCTTCTCTGCCGATCTCCCTTCCTCCTCTTTACTTTCCCAAGACTTCTCTTGTTCCCGGTCATTATTGGGGGCGACTTCCACTTCTTCTATCCTTTTTTCGCCATTGTCACCACGGATTGTCCTTGAAAAATTATTTTTGTCCTCTTTCCACGCTATCCTTATCCGCTCCAATTGGTCGTCTTGAAATCATTACTAACTCCGACTCCGATAACGCGCTATGAACTAAGGTCAAACTTTACCGCTGTTTATTCGATTTATATACAATTTAGTACAATTGAGACAGGATGAGTGGGATATTAGGCCGGATCCAAGGTTTGCCCTGACAATCCTTACGAGCGATTTGGTGTACCTGACACTAATGATTCTTTTCGCACCAAAGCGATCCAGGAATCGCTCTCGGACGACGCCCTCCTTCCCCTGAAGAGTTACAAGTACTCTAGTGTGGACAAGTCGTTCATCTCGAATTATATTTTAAGACACTACGTATGACTGCCCCGCATCATAAAGGAATTCTCTGGGGAAATAGATCTGACGGAAGAATTCCCCCTTATCAGTGGAATGCATTCGTCGAACTTGTGCCCCTCTGGATGGCCCCGAACATGGTCACTCTGATAGGCTTCATGTTCATTGTTGGCAATGTGTTTCTCATACAAATCTTCGTGCCCGATCTTGTGGGACCGGTAAGGATGCCGTGCCTGGATAACTCAGTTCCGACCGGGTGTTAACGTCTTTTCGAGGCGATAGGGACCTGCTTGGATCTACTTCAGTTTCGCCCTTGGCATGTGGATGTACGATTCTACCCTCGTCCCTACTTGAATGGACTCGACTAATGCGAAATGAAGGTATTCTACCTTGGATAACATCGACGGCAAGCAGGCGCGGAGGACCGGCACCTCCAGCGGTCTTGGAGAACTTTTCGAGTATGTGAAAGGAAGATGTCACCAGAGAACGGGTTCTGACTGGTCTATAGTCACGGCATCGATTCTTTGAATTGCACCCTCGGCGCCCTACTTTCGACTGCAGCAATGGGTCTGGGTTCCACTTCGCTTGGAGCCTACACTGCCATCGTTCCGTGCCTTGCGATGTATTTTTCGACTTGGGAGACCTATCACACCCATACTCTCTGGCTCGGATATATCAACGCACCGACCGAAGGACTTCTGGTCGCAATCGCAATGATGATTGTGTCCGGTGTTTGCGGGCCCGAGGTGTGGGCCCGGCCGATTACCGATTTCATCGACTGGGGGATTTTCGGGACCAACTCCTTCAAGGATCTTTGGGTTCCAATCCTCGTTGGGTCGTTCCTCCTTGGACATATGCCCGGGTGTATCCTCAACGTGGTTAACACCCGCCGAAACCAAGGTCTTCCCGTGGCGCCGGTCTTCAAGGAGTGGATCCCAATTGGAGTCTTTACCTGCAGCAACTTCGCTTGGTTGTTTTCCCCTTACTCGACTCTCCTCGGCGAAAACCATATCATCCTGTATAGCTGGATGATCGCCTTCGTGTTCGGACGGATGACCACTATGATCATCCTTGCTCATCTGCTGAAACAGCCATTCCCGCACTGGACCGTGCTGCAGATTCCCGTTGTTCTTGGTGCTGTGCTCGTCAACCTGCCGGTGTTGGGCTTTCCCGCACTCGGTGCATCGCTCGAACTCATGTACCTGTGGATCGTCTGCATCGTGGTCTTCATCGCCTACATGTTCTGGGCCGTGCTGATCATCAACCGCATCACCACTTTCCTGGGGATCAACTGTCTGACCATCCGCAAAGACAGGTCTGCCGTACGTGACCGAGATTACTTTGAACTCGCGGAAACAGCCCCGGAAACGCCCAGTCTGCTAACCGATCCCAACAAGCAGAACTAAACCCCGGGCTGGTTTCCATCGAGAAGCGAAGGAGGACGAGTCAAGGGCTTGTGGGCTCACCGTTTTGAACATATGTATAACAGTCCTCCGACGGGGGGGATTCCGCAACCGGGATACGATGGAGGAAGTCAGGAGCCTGCTTGTCACCGACTTCATTGGCAAGCCGTCCTCCTACAAGTCAGTCCCGGCCCCGATTGACGAGATAACGACTTGGTTGATGGTTCATGCGCTTTGCGCTAGACGACATCTTGTCGCAGTATATAGACGATTAATATTTGTAGCATTGGCGAGGATCGATAGAGTTTGTACATGCATTTGGAATGAGATTGATCCATAGTATACATCCGTATATAAAATGAGACACAAGAGCTTCCTAGACTCCTTGCTTTCCATCGTCTGCTTATTTGTTCTCTGCTTATTTCCTGTCTCCCCCCGCTTTCCAGGATGTAATCATAATTTAGATACAGCATGCTAACCCTTCTTTCGGCCTTAGCGTTTCCTTCGTTCGTCCATCGCAATGCAACGGTAGTCAATCCATCCACATCCCAACCACCTCCGCGTCCCATTCCGCATTATGATAGGGTCAGCTCTCTCCCCCTCCCGGGGAATCAAGCCACCCCGACCGGTAAACCGCGAAAAATGACCGGCGCTGGAGGGTCAAGATGGTCGGTCGTCGATAAGCTTCGTTGTGGGGCTGATCAGTCCGTCAATATTGCTTGGGTTACACACATCTTTATCTATAGCAAGCTCTAGGACCCCCGCACGACGGGCCTGCACAAGGGATAGGCATACATAAGGGTCGATTGGGGCCGGTTTTACTCTGTATTTTTACTGACTTTTGCTGGGTATCTTGTTGGAGAAGACAGTATGAGTGATATGAAAGGTAGTGCAACGCTGAGCAGCAGAGTAAAGAGCAGTGCGGCGTCTGCTGCTCAGCCTCTTGGAAATGCCGACGATGGATCAGGGGTCATCCATGTGCAGAACGAGGATGAGCTGCGACTGGCTCAGATGGGTGTGTTAGCTGAGTTGATATCTTCCTGGGTTGCATGAAAGGAATCGCTGATGTTTGTATTTGGAAAGGCCACAAGCAGGAATTGAAGCGCCATTTCTCGGTCTGGAGCCTGATCGGACTGGCTGCTAATTGCACCATTTCCTGGACCGGTACGTGTCTATTACACCTCTCTTCTCTGCTGTTCTCTAATCTGACTATCTATGTAGGACTCGGTCTTGGCTTGATCACGGCGATCGACGCTGGTGGTCCTGGAGCTTGTATGGCGGAGTTCATCCCTATGGCGCGAGAGACATATAAAAGACTAAAAGCCTATCCAGTGATTTACGGCTTCATCCTTGTCTTCATCCTTCAGTCATTCCTGGCAACGTCACTAGCGGAATTCGTATCCGCGTATCCCGTCGAAGGGGGGATGTACCATTGGATCGCGGCCATTGCGCCCAAGCGGTACAATAGCGTTCTGAGCTTCGCGACGGGCTGGAGCACGGTCTTCGGATGTAGGTGTCGTCGTGACTTCCTGAGACGGATGGATGGAGACTGACGGTGGATGTAGGGATATTCACAAGCGCATCGACCAACCTGATCTACGCGACCAACTTCATGGCGCTGATTGCGCTGTACCACACGGACTTAACCATCCAGCCCTGGATGACATTCGTGGCTTACCAGGGCCTAAACCTGTTGACGGCGGGGATAGTCATGTTTGGAAATCGGTTCATTCCTATGATTAACAAGTTTTCGCGTGAGTCTGGTTCTGGATCTGGATTGGCGTTGGAATGGCAGAGCAAAGCACGCCTGTGCTGATTGATCTCGATAGTGTGCTACCTCCAACTGGCATGGTTCGTCATCATGGTCACTGTCGTTGCTACGGCGCCGAGACACAATAACAACAAGTTCGTCTTCCAGACGTGGGTTAACAACACGGGGTGGGAGAACAACGTTATCTGTTTCATCACCGGCCTTGTGAACCCGTTGTACTCCCTCGGCGGTCTGGATGGAATCACAGTCAGTCTGCTGCCCTCACTAACGAATACAAAAGCTAAAACATAGGCGTAGCACATCACGGAGGAAATGCCCAATGTAAGTAGCATACACCCTTGTGTCTTACTCATGGTACCAGACTGAGCTTAACATATACCCCTAGCCCGGCCGAAACGCACCTCTTGCCCTAGGTATGTGGCTACCATCTTGGATCTAGATCCTGATACTCATCACAAGCCCATCCACACAGCCTGCACACTCGGCATAGCATTCGTAACGGGTCTATCCTATCTCCTCAGCCTCATGTTCTCCGTCCAAAATTGGGAATCGTTGAAAGACTCCCAGACGGGCCTTCCCCTGGCCGAAATCTTCCGCCAGGCTACACAAAGCCGCGGCGGTGCCTTTGCGCTGGTTTTCATTCTCTGGGTTGCGCTGGGGCCGTGTATGCTTGGGTCTCAATTGAGTGAGTTTCCTATCTAAGACAACTTATATCGCCTCGGGGGATCTTCGATCGTTTAACTGTTATTTCTCCAGGCACCGGGCGGATGGTCTGGGCATTCGCTAGAGACGATGGCCTGCCTTTTTCCAAGACGTAAGTGACGCTTTTGTATAGCCATAAAATTCTCCCCAGGCTAGTCAGGCTATATGCCAGGTACTCATCAAACCAGATGGGCCAAAGTCCACCCCCGCCTCGGCTCCCCCTTCAACGCCCAACTCTGCGTCGCAGTCATCATCGCTCTACTGGGCTGCATCTACCTAGGATCCAGCACGGCATTCAACGCAATGATGAGTTCCGCAGTGTACGTCATAACCGCCGCTCTCCAACCTCCTCTCATCCCCCATCCGAAAGAAGCACCCATCCCAAACATTGCATCCCAGTGAACTAACCAAAACTAGCACAATCAACAACCTCGCCTACCTAGTCCCCATCCTAACGAACGTCCTCGTCGGACGGCGCACCATGCACCGCGGGCCGTTTTTCCTAAACTATGCAGCCGGCATGGCGGTTAATATCATCACCGTGTGCTGGCTGGTGTTTGCTATTGTGTTTTTCTCATTCCCTTATTATCAGCCTGTGTCTGGTGCGTATCTCTCTCTCTCGTCCTTCCGTGGTTGAGGGCTGCGTGGTGGATTGCTAATGGAACATTTAATCCAGCATCCAATATGAATTACACTTGCGTGTGCGTTGGGGGCTTTGTGGTTCTCGAGCTGCTTTGGTGGTTTGTTGCTGGGAAGAGGTACTCGATGAGTATGAAGAAGGCTAGGGAGGAGGACCAGAATGCTGCGCGGGCGGTTGTTGTTGGTGCGAGTGATGAGAAGGGTGTGAATTAGGGGGCCATTGGAGATGTTTGGATACCATTCGAGATGTTAGATTTAGGGGCTGGGTTTCTATGCAGAATGTGACAGAACTCTGAAATCATCATTGCAATATAATCTATCCAAGGAAACCGTTCATCCATGACGCTCCACCACTCCATGCAAAATGTAATAATAATAAAGTGGCAGGAAATACATAACTTCGTAGCCGTGCGTAGGGTTATATGGTGGCGTCAGCACATCCGACCAAAGAGGAACTCCTTGACGACGGGCGAGCTCGAAAACTCCGGGTTGAGAAGAACACAGCTACAGGTATTATTAGTATGTTATGCAAGGATAAAGGATTGCACTGCAGGAGTCTTACTTGAGAAAGTATGCCAGTCCTATCCTTCGCGATTCGAGAAACGCCGGTCGGAATTTGTCTGCACGAATGTTAGTCCGGCGGGTTATCCCTCGTCTGGGTGTGTTTGACACGTACAGATGATACTTTTCGGAGGAAGCACCGGCAGAGCGTTCTTCGCGTGTGGAAATGACGCAGCCAGTCGTCGGCGCAGGTCGTCGAATTCGGAGTACCTCAAACGCACGGTGATGGGACCGCCCTGTTCCAACAGTCAATAGTATGCTCAACACCCGGGTGGATAGGGTTTGACTAACCTCGAGAGTGTTGATCGTGCAGTTCCAGACCACATACGACCCTACGCCGGTCTTTCCCTGGACCACCGCATAGTCGTCTATGGAGACACTCTGCGCCCACAGTCCCCTGGTAGTTTCCGAGTTCGGGTCCTCCGTGTGATCTTCCAAGCTGATGGGAGGCAACTGTTCCAGCGAGGCTTGAGAGGTACGCGACGAATCCCGATGGTGGCTCCAGTAGGGTGGAACTACGCCGGACACGGGGCGATCTTTCGAAGTGGTATGAGTGAGGCGGGGCTGGGGCTGGGGGAGGATGGAGACATTGGTATTATCGCGGCTGCTATGGTTGCTCTTGTTGCTGCTGCTGTCCGTCGCTCCTTTCGACGGCGCGGTGGAGTCTGTAACGCCGGCGTTGGATGGCGTCGAAGATTGAGGCGGGGAAGGTTGGGGAAGGGGTTGTGGCCGAGGCACCGAGCCCGTCTCCTCATTCGCTGGATCCATCCATTTAGGTCTTCTCCAACAAATCCAGGGAGGTGATACTGGCGAGTCACGAGGAAGGAATCAGTTGGAGTGCCACCTAAAAGAGGGTATTGGGGTGCGAGGGGAGGTGGTAGGTGCGAAGTAAGGACGGCTTACCTGCTACTCCGGAAGACGCTTGTTGGACGACAGGGATGGGATTATCCGTCCAACCAGGTGTACACGGTGTATTCTCGTTATTTTTAGTTGTCGGTGGTCAGATTATGAAACGTCTGCGGTGGATTGATCAAGGAGTGTGAGTGAGCAAAGGGTTTGGTCGGAGGAAGTTGAAGCAGCTGGAGATTTCCGTTCATCAATCATGGTATCCTGAGGCATTCTTCCGCTATCAATCTTCAGGCATTCCTGGCATTCCATTCCCTCGGAAAGTCACCTGACAGCCAAGACATCGATTGCCCAAATGGGAAAGAAGTTGCCTTGTCAGGCCCGTAATCAGAGTATACAGACATCGTGTACGGAGTAGTTAATGGAAAAATTCTCAAGATGACAATGCAAAGAATGACAGTGTATCGTCTGGGTCTACCAGCCTTATTATCTCTGGCAATAACCTCGGTGCCATGCAGGAGATTTAACCCCCTATATTGAAGACACCGGACATGTCATATCATGTTGGGTTATGCAGGATATGCTAAATACAGACTAATGCCAACCAGGATGCTTCTAGTCCACGTCATTAAACCGTATTCAGAGTTACTGAGCAGATTTCCCGTTTTTATCGTTAAGAAATAGTGTCTCCTCCCTACCTCAAACAGGAGAACGTCCGGATATCAAAGGATCATGATACTGGAGCCGATATCGTTAGGGTCCCTGCTAGTAAAAAGCCAAGCAGAGTCAGACCCAATCAACGACTTTAGAACATCGGGGAATCCAAGACATTCAAACTCCACATCCCAAGTCAGCTGGTTAGGGATTCACTTTTTTTCCAATGGTCTTCTAAGACATTCCAGTGTAGGTGAGGGGTTCTGGGAGAGGCCAATTCAGAGACATGGCTGTCACAGTGGTCTGATACCAAAGTTAGCAACGGAGACATACAGCACATCCCAGACTGCAGCGACTGATGCGTCTCAAGCTAACTCTGGACTTCTCTGGACTAGTCTCGGTTCTTTGTCCCCGGATCGGCATCTCCAGTTGCGTTTGGATTGAATTTACTTTGTATCTTCTACTTTTTTTCTTCTCTTTTCTGCTGATTTGTTGGCAAAATGGAGTAATGCGCTTGCAAATGCAGTCCCGTCTCATCACACAGGTCGTGGCTTTGGCTCAGATCGCTCAATCTCAATGCAACAATATGAAACTAGCTGCTCCCAAGATGCGGGTCAAATCTACATGACGCCGTGGCCGGAAGTCGCAGGGTCCGTTCGGACTGGCTTTGGAGCTTCATGGATAGCGTCGCCACCCCAGCCTCGCTTTCCTGCCCCAAGACAGTTAAGTCAAAGTCGCAATTAACAGCTAGGGAGAGACTAAGTCGTACCATGTTCCGTGTACAACGACTGTGGTCAGGTTGAACTGAAATAAAAATGGACTTTGCACCACATATAAGTCACCACTGTCATCCCCATTCACCTCTTCTCCTCCCGCTTGCTTTGCTTTTCTTTCCGACTGGAATTTAGAACTGGTTTCTTCCTCTGTTATTTCCACTACTATATTAATATAAGACTGGTCTTTTATTCAACTACCGCCCACCTCGCAAATCTCAAGGTGACTACTTCCCAAATTTCTGGAATCTGCAGCCTGATCCACTTGCAACATCTACAACCCATTCTAATCGGTGTTTATCTTACAGATCGTACAGACTCAACACCTCACAACAATACAACAATGCTTCTCTTGCCATCGCTCGCCGTGATCGCCTCGTTGGCGAGGGCTATCAACGCCCAAGAGGTTGTCACCATTGACCCCAGCAGCGTTGATCCAGCCACGAGGGGTATGTCGAAAAAATGAAAATGAAAATAAACCAGAAGAAAAAAAATCTGACCAGTATCCACAGAGCATTGGTGCCTGTCGCAGACTTCGTCCTGCCCGCTCCTGTGTCTTCAATACCCCAAGTCAACCAGCGAGCCGACCTCAAACGACTGCGATTCCGTAAGTTGGCTGGAATGCAGAGCCCAATTCCTGATGCATTACTGATTCTATATTTGCAATAGGACACCCTCTCCTACAGCTGCGTCTGCGACAACGGCAAATCTCCCAACGCCTCGGAATACTCCCAGACAATCCCCTACTTCATCTGCACCGAGGAGAACAACCAGTGCGTCAATAAATGCGAGGGCAAATCAAGCTGCCAGTCCCGGTGTCGCGACGACCATCCCTGCGGAGCCCAGGACCCCAAGCGCGCCAACAAGACCACCTCCACGACCTCGACCCCCCAAGCGACCACTTCTGTGCCGGCGTTCACGGGCGTCGCGGGTGAAAACATCGGCGCCAGGCCGTCGATTGAGATGGGTCATATTTACGCTGCGGCCCTTGCCATGGGCGCGTTCCTTGCCGGTTTCGCGTCCTTGCTTTGAGTGGAATAAAATGGAATGGCTCACGTCGACTGTGATAGATTGAGACTCGACTCGATGTGCAGTGCTACGATCTTCAGTCTTACACATTCACATTCACATTCACATCCACATTCTCCCTGCATGATTTTCAGCGTTTTCATGGAGCGTGCGCCGTCTTTGCTTTTTGTTCGTTTTTCTATTATGTTGTTATGATTTTAATCATTAATCATATGGGGCTGTCTAGTTTTGTTACCAAAACAGCCATTGCATTACCTCCCATGTTAACTAATATCACTCCTTATTAAATGCATACAACCAAATTACCGCACTTTACTATATATTCTCCTATACAGTTCAGCACTGTAATACTCAGGGACCTACCCGACCTCCAGAAGCACGCACGCGATTGTATACTCAACAATTTACCTTCGGAAGTATAGACACTCTTCCAAGCTATTGAGTATACGTACTCGATAGTCTTACTTCTCTTTTTGTTTATGAGCTACCTAGACTATCAACCACCTTCGAGTCGGATACCTCTTCGTTACCAAGTCAGATCAACCGGGGGTCTTGAGGTTTTGATATCCCATTGAACCCTCACTCGCGAACCACTGTGAGGTTCTTCAAAACAAAATACCCAGAATAGTACATCAGAGCCCGTGAGAGATTTTAGAGGCTTGACGCTTGGGAAAGAAGAGAAGTCGGTCTAAGTATTTTGAGCTATCTAGTTCCACGCAAGAAGCTTTGAAGATGTTGTTTTTATTTTTTACAATTTATATGAATAATATATATAATTTGTGATATAGATAATGATACTTTATATTTTGGATCTATGTCTTCCAGGAATATTTGAGCTAAAAAGCTTTGAATTTTGTAATTCTCATTGTACTCAAGATATATATATTTCAAACTACGGATACTTCTCCCGCATAGATCTCACTACTTATGGACAACTCTGAAAACTATAAGAATCAACTCATCTGAAAGGTACATAAGTTGCCAAAGAAAATAAGAACCAAGCATATTTCATGAGACTTCTTCAAAAGTGGGTGGTAAGCTGATATATTCTTGCCTGAAACTAAAAAAACTAGTTTAAACCCTCACTAAAATCTGCCTTATCCAGCTGGATCCACGTTGGGGGCGGAGTCTCCGACTCATTTCATTCTTTGAATCGTATAAATTCCAAGAAACAGAATGCCATGCCATCTCAACACCTAAGACAACAAATAACCACCCCATGATTAATCAAACCAACAAAAAGAATGACAATGCACACTGCACTTCCGTACGACTGCTGGAAAGCAATCGCAGAGCATCTCCCTCAAGATGATCTCCTGTCTCTGTCACTCGTCTCAAAAGACATTCGCTCAACAGTTGAGCCTCTCCTATACCGCACAATCTCCTGGCCATGGGACGAGCCAGTTCCCACGAGGCGCATTCTCCGCCTTTTACGGACCATCATACACCGTCCAGAACTAGCATTTCACGTCTATCATCTCAGCCTCGTTTCGACCCAGGAAGTCTTCTCCAGCGAGCCATGGACGCCTCCAGAATCAGACATTGACTGGGACTTGGAGCAAGCTGAGTATCGCGATGTGGTTTGCCAGGCGCAAGGCCTCGTCGATGATGCGCTATTTCCGGACGCGGGGAATTGGAAGCAGGCTCTCCAAGAAGGGGACCCTCACGCCTTTGCTTCTATTCTCCTTTCGCGCCTGCATAATCTTCGTACTCTTAGACTGGACTATATGTTTGTTTGGATGTCCGGCTTCCCTGGCCTGATGCTGCAACACGCCTTACTCCCCACCAATTCAGCAAGCAGCAGCAGCAGCAGCAGCCGCCTCCCAACCTTCCAATTTCTCGAAACTGTGGACTACGGGAGCAACGCGCGCATTGCAGAGCGGATCGAAGAGGAATTAGATCTTGACACAGTCGAAGGTTACCCGGACTGTGAGCCCGAGCAGTTCAAAGCATGGTTCTATCTCCCCTCGCTCAAGGCGTTGGCAATCTGGCTGCGCGACGCGCGAGATATCGACCACAGGTCCAATCTCCACCAATTGCACACGCTCATTCTTGCAAGAGCCACTATCGGCGAACAAGACGTCCCCCGTCTCCTATCTCAGACGACCCCCGCCCTTCACACCCTCCACCTCGGACTCGCCTACCGCTGGGGTCAAGAAATCGCCCTAGCGAACGGGACAGAGCTTCTACGCGGGCTAGATTCCATGGCCCCATCGATAACGAACCTCTCCCTCGGACTAGAATATTATCCGCCCACCTTCGGCGAGTACTACCTCGACAGCGAGCAAGAGGAAACTCTCCGCGCACCCTTCGAGGGATTCCTATCGCAATTGAATTCCGCGCGCAAGATCGAAGTCCCCGTTACTTTACTCGTGGGGTGGGATTCGACGCGATCGTTGGATGATCTGAGCGCGATACTGCCCGAGTCTGTGGAGGAGATCTGCCTTAGGCTTGATTGTGGGGGCGTCGGGAGCATGGATTGGACGGTGGTGTCGCTTCTGGAGTGGGTTGAGCGGCATTTGGAGGGTTTGATTGCAAGATGTCCGAATGTGAGGGGCGTTGTGTTGCGGGCGTGGGCGCCGTTGAAGGTGGACTGGTCGGAGGAGAAGAGGGTGGAGGTGAGCGAGATGTGTGGACGGGTTGGGGTCCGGTTGGATGTCGTGGATGATGAGCTTGGGGTGGGGTTGTGGACGTGGGTGTGATAGGATTGGTGATGCTGTTTAGATGATGATGATATTGGAAAAGACGATGGCCATAGGTTCTATTTATTATCTAGACTAGATGGGTGGCTTGGTTGTGAGTTCAACGACATCGCTGAGCCCTCTACAAGTCATGTAACAGCACCACGGATATAAAGTCTCGAAAGAACTTATGGAAACAGTACTTTTAATCCATTCTGGTAACGATCTTACAATAGTCGAGTAACTTCAAGATGCCTCATATAAATTATTGAATTTGTCAAATTCAGCTAAGGGAAAATTGACCCATAAAAATAGTGTAGCTAGACTTTACAAAGGGCAGTCTCTTTTTCTGTCTAAAAAAAAAAAAAGATAAATAGCTCCAACATATCACCAGGTGAAACGCATCATCAATCAATCAATTAATTCTCTAAGCAGAGCAACTCTCGGTATCATCAATAGACGGAGTCTCTAGACTCGCATCAACACCATGATCCTTGGCCTGCTTTTCCGTCATGAGGGCAAAGATGACATTGGAGATAAACTCGTGCGTCATAGACGTAGGATGGAAGACCTTAGAAATGCTATCTGGGATGCCCATGCGCTCGACGAGTTCGAAGTCCCCCTTCATGGGCTGGTAGTCGTCCATGGTGTCGTCGGACTTGGGGGAGCGCTTCCGCTTCATCTCGATGCCGCGCTTCTTCAGATCGCCCTCGGTCCACTTCATCTGATAAAACATGTCGTTCCAGCGAGTGCGGTCGAAATTCTTTTCGTCGTACACCTGGGACTCGTCGACGCCTTCATCGCAGAACCGGCCGAACCAGTCTTGCGAGTGCTGCTCGTAGTCGACGAAGGTGGCGCCTGCGTCGGTGACGAGTTTCTTGAGCTTGCTGTTGAGGTCCAGGACGAGCTTGTTGACTTTGTGGCGGAAGTCCTGCGTGAGGTACTGCGGGTTGAGCTCCGGAAGGAGGTTCCACTTGATTTTGTCGCAGGCTGATGTGTCGGCGTTGAAGAAGGTTGCGTAACCCGTCCAGTAGATCGAGCCCTTTGATGAGAGGTGGCTCTTGGCCTCGTCGAGGATGGCGTTGACGCTTGAATCTAGAGAGCTGCTGCCTAGCACATCTTCGGCCTTCTGAAGTGCGTCGTCGCATTTACTGTAGACTGCCCACTGGTAGATACACCCTTGGACAATGTTGGAGAACCCCAGGTCGTTACCTGTGAAATACATGTTAGCAATTATGCCAGGGAAGGGTAGAGTCGAGTGACAAGCAGAAGGAAATATACATACCACCGCCAGAGATGGTGATCAGATCCATATCGCCCCCCAGCTTCTTGGCCTGCTCCTTGATTTCGGGCGTCTTGTCGCCCAGACACCCGAGGTAGGTGAACTCGTGGGCGTCAGCACCGCCCATGCGAGCATCCTCGTTCAAAAAACTGGGATACGACTCATCGTATCGTGAGCATTTTTCGTCATCCTTGCCCTTGAGTACGGAGCCTGCACCAACGCCCGAGCTGTAGGAGTCACCGATAGAGGCGATTTTCTTGATGTAGGAGAAATCGCCGATGGAGGCGTCCTCGCGCCGGTTGAGGGGGATGCCCGCCGCACTGGAGGTAGCGACGTGCCAGCCAGCCAGCAGCAGCGCGACGGCGCTGCTTTGACGGAGGTGGACCATGGTTTAGAGGAAGGGGAACGAAAGGGAGGAAAGGAGAAGGAGTATGGAAGTGACAAGTCGCGAAATCAGTGCAGGCCTTTCTAGGTCTCGGTGTGAACTTGATCGCGGTTATATACTATATCGTATCCTAGTACCCTTTTTAGACATGCAATGAGAAGACAATAAGCGTCACGTTCACTGTCGGGCTAATTGTGGATTGCTCCTGGTCGGTTGCAATTCTGCCTTGAGCTAGTTCATATCAGCTGTTTCATCTAGTCAAGTCCAGACCGACTGAGGACGGTGATGATGGGTCTTGCTAAGCTGACCGGTGAACTTCCGCCAACCTAGGATGCCCACGCGATTGATGCTGGGATTTTTTTTAGATCCATATCTCAGCCTCGGGTAAGCAACTCAATCTGGGCAAGTCAGTCATAGGGCCAATTTAGATCAATATCTCGGGATCGGGTGAGCGCCAGATCTGGGAAAGTCAGTCATCTCTGCAGGTACTGCCCCCAAATAATGCTTAAATTGGCGGCGTACACAGCCCTACTACAAGACCAGCGAATGTCGACCCACCAACCATAAGCACTGGACCTTCCCGGACCATACCGGACAACGACCGAGTCCCTATAAGCACTTGCTTTTAGCCCCATTCTTTAGCGGTATCTCCGCCTTTAGCGGGCCAACTACGCTAAGAAAGGCTTGGGAGGCTGAGAAGCTTCTGCAAAAACTTCTTAGCCGCATGAAGGAAGTGAAGAATCACCCAAACCAGGATATGATCGGCATTACTAACTGAAGAGAGAGCTATAGCCTACTATAAATCTAATTTGGAGGAAAGTTATTCATAGACCCGAGCTAATGCACGGTGAGCAAGGCTGTGCAGGGCCGGCGTCGTGACGGCTAGCTCGGGGGGCCAAAACTGATAGAGGGCCTAAGGCTGACTTTGTTTCTATACTGCCATTGTCTCTGAAACCAAGCATAGTGAGGACGGGTTGTCAAGGCGAATAACGGATTGGTCAGGCCGAGGATGATGGAGTCGAGTTGTGTGTGAGCGCAAATAGCGCGTTTAACTCTAGACGGGATGATCCCAGACTCTCTAGTATCTGAGAATCGATATCTTTTAAAAGGCCATTCCGGCCTGCATCGTTGAGCTTTCTTTATGTTGCAAGTCATTGTCTCTTTCCTTCTATCCCCCTTTGCATCGCAAGATGACATCCAAGATGGTGTCCAGAATCATCCTTCTCCTTACCCTTCTCGTGGGCCTCGTGCTCTCGTCGAACACGACTGACACGATTGAAACGATTGACACGACCGAGTTTTTCGAGCTCACCGCACGAGACGACGGCACCGATCTGGACGTCCGTCGGGACAAGTCTGTCCGGCCCACAAAACCAAAGCCACCAGGCTTCGACAGCTACCTCTGGAGCTCAATCGCTACCTTCACAGACGACTTGACCGACGGAAACCTAGTCCAGATAGCCGATGACGCGCACAAACGCATGCGAGATCACTGGAAAACCGAGAGAATCGACATCACGAAGCAGCCGACCGTGATGACGGCCTTGAAGGTCGGCCGCAGCGTCTACCTCGCTTCCTCCACAAAGGGCAACCCGCCCGTCGTGTACGAGCGCCGCCGGGGCCAGGATGGTAAAGGCGACGTGAAAAAAGCGGTACCGGATGAACTGGCCAACGCGCTCACGGCGTGCTTGAACAGTCGGGGATCCAAGGAACCGCAACATCAGAACGAGGCGCAGTGCGGCGAGGTCATGGCCATCTTTGCCTGGATCAAACTAAATCCAGGGCAGAAGATCTCGGATCAGAAAGCCGTTATCATTGCGTGGGAGTATAAGGAAGACCCACAGTCGAAAAAGGTTACTGCTAATGGCATCAAGCCTCCCTGCAATAGCAGGGATTTCTGGGGCTGCAAGTCCTTGCTTCCTAAGTTAAAAATCCGAGAAGTGAAGAAGGGCACCAAGGGGGAGCCATATTCAAAGCCGACGGAGATACGGCAGCAGGAACTCCTCGGAAAATGTGGATTGACGTGCACGGGCACCCAGGACAGCCGGGGCACCACCCGGGAGGCCATCATGAAGCATGTGGACGACATGTGTGACCGCATGTCCAAAGACAACAGAGGAAAGCGCTTCAAAGGATTTTCGGAGGAATATAAGAATGCTGGAGGAACGACTGTCAACACCCTGAAGATCTCTCTGGAAGAGGGAGCGGATCAAGGCATTGCATCTAAAGCGTGAGTTTCTCCAAGAACCAGGGTGGAAAGGATGCACACATCTGACGTGAGACCAGTGAGTGCAAAAAGAACTTCCAGAAAACCATCGACGAATGCGACACCAATACCAGGACTCAAAAGAAAGGTGGTCGTATCGGGGATGGGAGATTGATCTACTCCTGGTCGACTCATGCAGACGAATCGAAAGTGAAGTGTCAGGAACACGACGAGGACAACAATACCCACCAGACCCGCGACTACTTCCTCAAGAATATCAAGGAGTACTGCAAGGATGGCCTGAAACTGAAGGCCCAGGACCAGCAGGGTGAAAATCCTGACCAAGCAACCGTCATGAACAGCGTCAATCTGCTTGTCAGATATCCCGAGTCGCAATCGGGTTGCCACACCGGCAAGGACCATGAAGTATCCGCTGAGGATTGCGAGAGAAGCTTTAGAATAATTGTCGATGAGTGTGAGTTTCCTGTGCCTGTTTGGCCAGTATCAATCTCTCTAACCCACTGCATGATGCTAACCTGATCTTTCAATAGGCGACACTAATACTCGCGAGGAGAAATGGGGCGGTTCGCGTATCTACGATACGAATGATGGCTGCTTTGATTACTCTGTTACTGGATGGAAGGGCGAGGAATCTCACCATGGTTTGCCCCCGTCAAGGTAGGGAGTGTGGTTTTGAAGTATCTTGGCGGTACGGTTCAGGATTTTGACGATGTATCTTCTTGGACTGATTAGAGTGAACATATTCATGAAGTATTAATACACTTATTGAGAGATTTTACAGCCCTAGTCTTAAAGTCATTGTTTGGGTAGAAAGTCGTACCCTGTCCAATGGGGGTTGCCTAAGTCAAGTAGATTGGAATTATAATCGATCTTAAGCTTCCGGGTCTTTATATCTCGAATATATCTAGAGGAATTCCGAGTCTCTAGAACATTGAAGAGTCTAATCAGTAGAGAAGCAAGGTCTATCAAGTATAAATAGTGTGCAATGTAAATGAAAATAGGTGATTATACTTCAAAGTAAACGGAATAGAGACCACCAACCGTGATGGCTTTTAATTCGAAAGAGGAAGTCGTGGACCTGGCTGCTGCCCCCCTGACTTCCTTTCCACTAAGATGATATGTGTATCTTTATGCTGGGTACTGTCGACCTGAGAATAGTAGTGTAAACCACTTGCCACATGTCCTGGTAGAATCACGCATTTCTTCAATTCTATAATTACCCTTTAACATATAGACTGGTTTTGACCACTTACATCACTAGTCGTTCACGAACCAATTTATCATCACTATGATTCACAATGTATGTCTCCCTGCGCTATTGAAAACCACAGGCGCGCATGAGCTTACATCGTGCAGCATTCTCCAATTTGCCCGGTGTGCTTGATCAAGGGACATTCCTCGGAAACCTGTCCGTTGTACGTCTCAGCCGTGCATCATATCTCGGCCCCCGTGGATGGTCTTAAAAGGAGTTGGATGGATCTCGGCCAGAATGGGCCGTTGCTAGGGGGTGCTCTATTCTTGGTAGGTCGACTAATGCCAGTTCGGACACAAGGCTGAGTGGCTGCAGGCAAGCAAAGTCATCGATATGGCCCCCCACGCATTCTGGCCCAGACAGCAGCAGGTGGGTACTATAAACATGGAAACGTATAGACGGGACTGGCGCGATGGCAAGCTATTGGCCGAGTTGAGGATCATTGGGGACGCGTCTGAGGAGCCCGAGCATGCGGTAAGTGCTGAGTTGATGCCAATTGAACCAATCCGAAACTTCTAACGACCCGACGATGCCGTTAGACCTGGCGGATTGACAGACATACATTCAGCCTTCTCGAGAACCATGCCGGCATACACTGGGAGGGGTTAGATTCCCGGTCCTCTCAGCCCATTTGATGGGTTCGACTCCGTATCTAATTCCTTTGACTAGAAATATCACCGAGACAGCCTACTGGGCTCGAGTGGAGTTTCAAGAGTGGGTACTCCTGCCCGAACCCTGTGGTTGTCGACTGACATGTTGTGACTTCTTAGTATACTACCCAAGTTTGAAGCCATGTTAGCTATCCATCCCATGGTTTGTTTAACGTACTAGCCTCTAATTTTCCGGTTCTTCCAGTGACGCCTACCACCCAACTGGACACCTGTAAGAGACTATTGCGCTTTCTATGTGGAATCGCACTGACGAGACAGTGTCGAGATATCTCATACCATCTTCAGGTAGCTTACCATACCGCAAGGTCTCATCTTTCCCACTGACTCTTCCATAGTACCGCCGATCATAATGCAGTGTAAGGATAAACCCTCCCGACTATCAGAGTATATCTGAAGGGAATAGATGGGTACCGCAGGCGCCTGATGTGCAGCTTCTAACCTTCGCGGACAATCAGTAAGACATCACAGATACTTGAAAGTTATCCGCGTTGACTATAATGCAGAATCTGTTTTCCTTGGCCGCCTCCAATTCGATGGTGAGTTGCTACCATAGAAAGATCCAGGCGTAATCTCATCAGCGACAGGGCACCCCTGAAGTCGGTCCTTCCAGATGAGACGCCCATGCCTTCAACCATCACTCGAAGTCAATCTGCACCGGATCTAGCGCCTACTTGGATCAACCGGCCTTGCGCACCTCTCTCACCCGATATTAGTGAATTCGACCCAGAGACGAGCAGGGAACAGAGTCCGTCAGGGACCTCAGATGCGGACATCGCGAGTTCCCCCTGTTCCAGTTCTGTTGGTTCAAGTTCCAGTTCCGGTAATTCATTTATTGTAGTGAATTGAAATGGCGAGCAGCTGGGCAGCTGCATGATGACTGAATTATCCTGTATTTGCAACATCAATGAGAATTGTTGATCAAATCCTAGACTGTTGATGGAGACGGTCGATGATCAGGCGGTGGGGCGGGCGGTGAGCGGGGCGTGTTGATAAAGCGAGCCAAATGACGATCATCGTCTCCGTCAGTTACTCCGCCTGCCACCTGCCTACTTATCACTCCCCGCTATATGGACCTGTTTTCCCGTCGGTTGTTCATCTCCTCTTGACTCAACAGCACTGCCTGATTCATATCCATTCCGTATTAGCTCAAGTCATTAGAGAGCGCGTGATTAGTTGTGCTCGTGGACAATCCATCGCAGGCTCGTTGAGGCGGTACTCATAGCGAAGACGAGAATACACAACGGCCTCCGAGATGGAAATAGGGGCAGAAGCGTTCGATGCGTTTCCATCCGGAACCTACCAGGGACAGCTTTCGAGCATGGCAAGTACGGATCTAGAGGCCTTGAACGGCAGTTTAGCACCGACCGGGCCGTTTGTGAGGGTAGATGGTATGTACTCACCACCAGCTCAGTAACTACCTTCCGAGCAGTCACTATGGAAATGGGTACTGACGACCTTAGATCCCCCAAAATTTGAATTGGAATCCTACATTGCGAACTACACTGGTGCGTGAGATCCCGCTGCTTTCCCGGGGAGAGGACTAACGGCTTTTGCTGCCTCAGGCCGGACCAGATTTAATCGCTTGTTTCTCATCGGTACCTGTTCGACGTATCTCGCTGTCGAGGCGCTCAAAGCTGCTATTGCTGAGGCCAAGGCGGGCAAGGATGTCGCGAGATATGAACGGGCTGTCAGGGCACTGGCTGAGGCTGCACCGAACGAGGCTGAAGCCGTACCCGATGCGGACTGGATGAATCACCAGCGCAAGGTGGTCAAGGTCGAAACGGATCGGTTGGAGCACGAGCTACGGGGATATAAAAATAACCTCATTAAGGAGAGTATTCGGGTGGGTTCTTCCTCTCTGTTTCGCGAAGCCTGATGGTCGCTGACTGGTCCAGATGGGAAATGAGGATCTCGGGCACCATTATCACCAGATCGGTGACCTGGTCGCGGCATCTAAGGCTTACTCTCGGATGAGGGACTTTTGCACGACTCCGACCCATATCGCGTCGATGCTGTTCAAGATCATCAACGTGGGGATCGAGCGTGGCGACTGGTTGAGTGTCCAGTCCAACGTGCAGCGGTTACGCAACATGCAATCTAAACAGGAGGAGCAGAGCAAAAACCAGCCGAAGATGTCGGCCGCTATGGGTTTGTCTCAAATACATTCGGGGGCCTATCTAGAGGCCGCGAACAGCTTCCTGGACACGGAGCCCAGTCTGGGAGACTCATACAACGAGGTGATCACTTCGAACGACGTGGCCGTCTACGGCGGACTGTGTGCGCTTGCATCGATGGACCGCCTCGAGCTCCAACGCCGCGTGCTGGAGAACAACGCGTTCCGCAATTTCCTCGAGCTAGAGCCCCACATCCGCCGCGCCATTTCCTTTTTCTGCAGCTCCAAGTTCCGCCCGTGTCTGGAGATCCTCGAGTCCTACAAGACTGACTACCTCCTCGACATTCACCTCCAGCGCCACGTCAGCACACTGTTCACGCAGATCCGCACCAAGTCCATCCAGCAGTATCTCGTCCCGTTCAGCCGCGTCACGCTGGATTCCATGTCCAAGATCTTCGCGCCGGGGGTCGCCTCGGGCCAGACGAACCAGATCGACTCCTCGTCGCCATTTGTGCAGGAGCTAATCACGTTGATCCAGGATGGCACGCTGGAGGCGCGCATCGACCTGGAGAAGATGGTGCTCGTGTCCAACCAGGTCGACCTGCGGATAGAGGTGCAGCAGGCCACGCTCAACAGCCTGGAGAGCTACCTGCAGGAGGCACACCTGCGACTGCTGCGAACCAACATGATCCGCTCGGGGCTGGAGGTGCGGCCGCTTGAAGAACGCCGACACAAGACGGAGGAGCGGAGCGCCAAATCGACAGGACTGGGAGGGCGGATCCGGGGGGTATTCCAATAGGATGTACATAGATCGGCCCGGGTGAGGTATACAGACGAGGCTTATGACTAGAAACTTGATATTCTTACGACCGCTATCTGCTTCTTATGATTGGTGCAGCCAGGGATATACATGCCGCAACGACCAGCACAAACATCAACAAATACATTAATTATCGCTATTAAAATAGAAACCAGGAAGTACCCCCCGACATGACCATCCATCAATCAATTATCATGTGCGTCGCTCTCATACCTTGACCACTTCAAGAAATGAATCTAGTAAACCATTCCCAAAGCCACAGCAGCAGCACCAACAACCAACCCCGACATCCCAGTGACACGCGCCCCAGCAGCATTATCACTAGCCGTCGGCGACGACGAAGGCGACGCCGCATCAGCATCAGCACCGGGAGTATTCTTAGCCCCAGAAGTAGAAGTAGAAGTAGACGCAGCCTCGCCAGTCCGCTCAGGCGAAACCTTCGCCGTCGCCTTCGCCTTCGCCGTAGTGCTATCCAGCTCCGTCGCCGTAATGGTCACAGCCAACATAGGCAGCGACGGCATGGTGATGCTGGCACTGTCGGTGTGGGTGGTCGACACGTCGTGCTGGGAGATCTCGCAGGAGGCGTAGGTTGAGCCTGAGACTTGGCAGCCTTGGGAGAGGTAGCTATCATCATTATTAGTGATTGTTCCCTCCGTGTTGACCAATTTAGATATATTGATATATTGATGGGGAAAAAAAAAAAGGAAGCGGGAAATGGAATGTTAAGGGTTATATAGAAAGGGGCCAATAACTCACTAATCTTCATAAGTATAGATCGCGTTGTAGGTGGATTTCCCTGCGGCGACGGTGTATCCGTCCTCGGGCATGCCGCATTCGTCGCTGTCGGTTCCGGGTGCGCAGTAGACTACGTAGGTGGTGAGGGGGCCGTCCTGTTCATTGTATTGTTAGATGTGTGATATGTGGAGTAGAGGGGTGGGGAGCTATACAGTGGCGATCACTTTACCCACTAAAGGCTGGGGATCAGCCTGGGGCATGAAGAGCGTGACGACTTCATCGGCGGCGAGGACGGAGGATGCGCCGGTGAGGAGGGCGACGGCGAGGGTGAGGATGTTGCTGTGCATTTTGTATAGTAGTAATGGTGGTAGTGTAGGTATTACAAAATAGTTATTATTGAAAAAAAAAATTTGAACGAATGAATGAAGATAGAACGATAACTTAATATAAAAAAGAACGAGAGACTGGAGAACTATCAACAAGAGAACGACGATCAAAATCCAGAAAAGCCTGACAAGGCAGACCTTATATCCTCCCCTCTTTATGTAGCATCGAATCCCGGGAGATAATGCACTGTTTACACGGACCCCGCCACTACAACGGCCAGTTCGTTACTATTGATCCAAAGGCGAACCGAGGGTCTGTCGGCGCGCTAGCAGGAGATTGTCTCGGCGGTTGGTTCCGTCCGATTGGGGTTCCTGTCCGGGCTAGATGCTAATGGGGAAAGTGGTTGTCTTAGTTTGATTGTTCCCTGTGGTGTTGTGAGAATTTCATGCTTTTAGCGTGGTTTGGTCTGGTTATTTTGGTCGGGTGGCGTTGTGCTACGAGGGACTATTAGCCGGCCAGTCGTGTGCGCTGGTCTGCAGAATCTGGTGGGCGTTTTTGGTTGGACAGGAAAATAGTTTTATTTGCAGGTTGCAATGGAGGGAATTTTAAGCGATATGCGATCCCCTCAGCCACTTTGAACTGCCGAGGAGTCCGCTGGTGACTCCCGCTAGGAATAACACCCCGTTGAAGCCGGCTAGGATGTAGAACGGCGCCCCCGAGGAGAGCACGTCGAACAGCAGCCCGCCGACCTTGGTCAGCAGCAGTATCCCGGCACCGCCGTACAAGGAGTAGACCCCGGCGATGGACCCCTTCAGGTGCGACAGCCGGCGCGACTGGGGTGGCGCGGGTCTCGCCAACAGCGGGCGCTGCTCGTCCGGCGGGTCACTCGGGTCGCTCCCTGTGGGGTTGGCATGCTCGGGTTCGGTGGGCCCCGTCACCTGCAGGATACCGTTGCTGAGCACGGCTAAACTGCAGACAATCGCGCCGATCTGGCTGATGCCCATCAAGCCCATGATGAAAAACACGGCGGCGGTGCCGTTCTGCCCTTTGTATTCAGGACTGGGTAAGAGCGCAAACGCGGCAAAGCCGACTGCTCCCGCGAAGCACGCCGTCAGCAGTGGGAGATGGTACCGTCGGGATTTCTCCGAGAGGTACCCCATCGCCGGGGCGACAGCGAGTGCGACCAGCTGGGAGACCCCGGTTAAGATGGACGCCAGCACGTAGGCGCGCGGACACGACCGTTTGATGTCTCCGGGACTGCCTGCGGAGTCGTCGTGGCATAGGCCCGAGGTTTGGTAGTAGTGATTGACCGCCAGGGGGATAAACAACGAGATCCCGACGGACGAGGCGCGTGCTACGAACCCTCCCAGATACCCGATGAAGATATCCCGATTGCGGAATCCCAACGCGACCGCCGAGCTCAATTCTCCGAGATACGGCAGATGTGGCTTGCCTTCTCCCGTATGCGCAGGGTCGTCGGCTGTCGACCACAATGAACGCCATCCCTTGTGTCCCTCACCGGGGAGATCCTTCAGGCCAACCAGAGAACCGATGCTGACCACCACGGCCACCGCCGCGACCAGGTAGTAGCTGCATTGGATCGATTGCGGTGGCGACATTCCCGACTGCTGGAGCCGGGCTGGAAGGGGTAAGAAGACCACCAAGGCCACGAGTGCTCCACAGCCAGCGCACATGCCAACAAACCCGGCCAGCCGGGACGCAGGCGCACGTTGACGGGCGTCCGGTTCGGACGGCGCTGGCTCGTCACTGGCGGGATCAGTGTCCAAGTTAGAATCTTGTCGCACTGGCATTGGCCGGTCTGTGACAGCTGGCAACACCGCCGTCACCATGGTCGACACCGCCGAGGCTCCCAAGCTGAACAGAAGCCGTCCCAGGAGAAGCTGGGGGTAGACATTCACGGCCTGGACGAACAAGACCAGCGACAGAGCCACGATGGCGTAGCCCACGGTACAGACCTACACCGGCACAATCAGAGACCGTCCCTAGGATAGAAACGGCGCAGTAGAAGCTTACATAGCGGACCCCAATGCGGTCCGACAGGACTCCCCACAGCGGGCAAGCCGCCAGCGCGAGCAGCTCATCCGCAAACCCTAGCGTTCCCACGACATCCCCCTGGCCCTCATGGACGCCAACCAAGTCAGTGACGACAAACGAGATGGAGGAGTTGATAAAGACGAGGAAGGCTATAGAGAATGGACAGACGCCTAGTAGGTAGGTGAGTGTTTGGGCGCGGGTCGCCGTAAACAATGGCGGTGGAGAAGCCATTAGACCAAAGACCGCATACCGGTCACCACTGCTGTTTGAGATCCCCGTCAATTGATAGTATCTGGTCTGTGAGATATGAAATCCGATCGAAAGTGGGTTGTAAGAAGTGGAATGGATGACGATGATGTGGACGCCTTGATGCCCCTCTGTACGACGCGGTCACGTGGGTGCATCGGTGGGCCGCAGATCGACAACATTTCTCAGATGATATTGGGTGATGATATGAGGGAAGGTTGCTGAATGATGTCGCATTGCCCAGGGCACCATTCCGCGGTCTCTAATCAGTAGAATGAGAAGGACTAACAAGTGCCATCCCCGTAGGTAGGAGGAGTGAAGAAGTACCCAGATATTTGTATGGGGTAAAAGGACCGGAGTGACCCGCTGACGTAAGACCGGATTAGTTTAGCTGTCCTCACCTTAAACTTACTCCGCGCCGCCATTGACCACGCGATTCTACCGAACAAGATCATCTTCCTCGACGGTCTGCTTGAACGTACGAATTCCGTCCATTTCTCTTCGGGACACCCGTTGGTTCTCAATGTCCCGCTGAGGTGCTTGTTTCGATTTGGTCATCTTGTCCATGATCTCGGGCTGGTTGCCCACATATTCCCCTTTGTGGCCATGAGATTAGCCGCCTACGCTGGGGTAAGTGGCTGATGGATGCTCCCCTTTTCGGTCATGGAGGAAAAAAGGAACCCCCAGATTGACGTTCTGTCATAGGCCTCGGTGGCTCTGGCCACGGGTGTGTTTCTAAAAGCGCTGCATCAACGGGCCAACTTCTACGCCGCTTGTGTCTACCTGTCCCAGAGTAGCGCAAATCTCATGGTGAGTCTTCCTTCCTAGGACGGGGTCGCAGTGAACTGATAAATGCTGATGGGTTGTTCAGATCCTGACGAATGTTTCCCTACTGGCCGTCGGATTCTTGCTCTTCTGGCTCCAACGTCTCCTCTACGGACCCCTCCGACCCATCGAGACCGAACAATTGTACGAGAAGGCATGGTTTGCCGTGACGGAAACATGTTTGGCCATGACAATCTTCCGCGGAGAACTGGGAGGCTGGTTTTTGGTCATGTTCGTCTGCTTGCTGGCCGGGAAGGTCTGGGGTTGGATCGGAGAGGGTCGCGTCGAGTTTGTGGAACAACAGCCGCCGCCCAATCCCCGATGGTTCCACGCTAGACTGGCCACCTCGTTGCTCCTGTCCGTCGCGTTCAATTCCCTGATGCTGAAATACTGTGTCCAGACCGTGCTGGAACAGGCACGACCGGACATGATGGTCATGTTTGGTTTTGAGTTCGCCGTGCTCACCATCCTCTCCACCTCGACGGCCGCCCGGTACTCCATCACCTTGGTCGAGATCTACGTCAACAACCAGCAGAAGAAGGCGCGGATTGAGGAGCGGCGTCAGGAGATCCGAGAGGCGAGGGCGGAAACTGTGCGACAACAGGCCCTGAGAGGGGAGCCCTCTCCGACGTTGCCCCCGGACGAGGAGGTCGACGAGATGGAGCTGGACATCCCGGGCTGGGAGGAGAAAGGCCGCTGGATATTCTACCTCGACCTAGCCACGGACTTTTTGAAGCTGACCGTCTACCTCACCTTCTTTGCCATTCTGTTCACCTTCTACGGCTTGCCCATCCATATCCTCCGCGACGTCGTCGTCACCATCCGCTCCTTCGCGCGCCGCATCATGGACTTCATCCGCTACCGGAATGCGACGCGGGACATGAACGAGCGCTATCCGGATGCGACCGCCGAGGAAGTGGCCCGGGAGGAAGTCTGCATCATCTGTCGCGAAGAAATGACCCCGTGGCAGCCACCGGCGGGCGGCGCCCGGCCCCGGATACCCGAACGGCTCAGACCCAAGAAGCTGCCTTGTGGTCACATCCTGCACTTTGTTTGCCTCCGGAGCTGGCTCGAACGACAGCAGAACTGCCCCACCTGTCGACGCCCGGTCATCCCCCCGCCGCGTCCCCACGGCGCCCAGGAGGGTGGCGGTCTTGGCGCGCAGCCGAACCTGGCAGGCGGAAACAACCAACCTCCGGGTCGCAATGGACCCGCCGATGGGCTGCCTCGCGCCCGCGTGTTTCAGTTTGGGCCCTTCCGCATCGGCTTCGGGGCCGGGAGGGGGGACGTTTTCCGCAACCTGCACCAGCAGATCCACCAGAACAACGCTCCGGGGCCGCTCGCGAACGCGAACCCTCCCCCCGGCGCGAGACAGATCGGGTTCGGCTTTGGATTTGGGCGGCCTCCGGCCCCGGCCCCGGGCCCGGCCCTCGCTCCGACACAGGCGCCCCTGCCGTCCGCGGCGAGTACCGCGGACATGCAGAGCCATCTCCAGCAGATGGAGCAGCAGATCGTGCAGGAGATCAACAACCTCCGGGTCACGGTCGACCAGCTGCATCTGGTCCGACTGCTGCAGTCGGAACTCCAGCGCCTTCGGAACCTGCCCGCTACCCCGTCGAACCCCCCAGGGATTCCAATCCCGACTGCCTCCGCGGCCTCGTCCGCCGGATCGCCCGTCGCCCTGCATCGTCAGTTCGCGTCCGATCCGCGCGCCCCCGCGATGACGGCCAACGACACCCGACTGCCCGAGGGACTCAGTCTGCCCCCGGGGTGGTCGCTTCTCCCGCTCCACGCAACCGACGCTCAGGCGCCGGGGTCGACGGGAGTGCGGGGCACCGACCCTGCGACGCCGACCGTTCCTGCGACGCCGACCGTTCCCACGACGGACGTTCCGACACAAGCCCCCGACGACGGTCCGAGCCCATCGGCCCATGCGCCTCCGGCGCACGAGGATCACGAACGGGTCCCCGATCCTACCCCAACGACGGCGACATCCCCGCCGTCGACGGTGCCCCAATGGAACTTTGGAAGCCCCACAGGGCCCGACGGGTCGTCGAATGTATCAGCAGCCCCACCACCGGCAGAGTCATCGGCCGGGGTGGACGGGCAGGCTGCAGGAGAGGAAGGGGACTCGGAGTCCTCCAAGGGGAAGGCCCGGGTAGCCACGGTCGAGGAAACGGTAGACGAGGAGACATGACGATAATGTTTGTATCTTTTTATTGGCAATTGGATTGTAAATCAAGGGTCTTTAAATATCCTTTTTCAGTTAGCTTTTTCTGTTCTAGCATGGTCATCTAATATACTATCCTGTAAATATCTATTACACTATCAAGTTAGAGGAAGCTGTCTGATTATTTATATCTTGGCTTCGCTCTAATTTTCTTTTCTTTCTAAATTTTCGTTTTATATTCTATACGTTCTTGATCCCGCCTGTTGTGTATTAGGCTTAACAATTCCATCTTTTTTTTTTTTCCTAATTACCTGCGAATCTCGTAGCCTCAGCGGCCTGCATGCTCTGTACACTCCAAAGAGTCTATGGGCTTCTTCTTCACCCCAGTGACTACACCGAGTGGAAGGAGAGATAGATTATATACGAATTGGATTCCAGTATTTGGGACACCTTAGATTTTGGGTTTCTTGGGCAAGGCGCCAATCCTCTCTTCCCACTGCCTGTCAACACTCACCCGCTGGGACTGTGAGACCCGTTCCCAGCCCTCACGGAAACGTGCAGACCTTAAGCCCCATGCTGACAACCTCGCATCAATAAAGCTCGCGCACGGCTCAGCACATTCTTGGACAACTTCCATTGGCACCATATGCCCACATGGAAGGACAATCTCCTGCACAAGGCCACTGGCCACGCCGCCACTGCCTCCAACCCCGGTCCCAGTCAGTCGTAGTTTCTCCTGGCGGGCTTTCGGAGTAGACAAAGGCGATTTGTCTCCGAATACGTAGAGGACAGCGGGTTTGAGCTCCGGTAGATGACGAAGCATGTATGCGGGCTCAGGGCGGTAAAAGGGGAACGCTTCCCGATCGTCTGGGTGCATTTCTTTCTCGGGATCACCGCGAGGGAGACCGGATCGCTCGTCGATATAGGACGGTCTGACGTAGAAGAACAGCTCCTGTGCCTTTGTCGTGGCCAGTGTGACGGCGTGCGGCCCTGTCTTTTCGGAAATGGCATGTAATGGGGTGGGGAGGTCCCGGAGCCCGTATTGGATCCATTTGTCGAAAACGCGCGGATCCCATGCGCGATAGAACGGGTTTGATTTGAATTTCTCCGAGGCCTGCTCCCGCGATGGCCACACGTCTCGTCTGAAAGTCGATGCTTGGGCAAACTCGCGGCCTGGATTCTCCCGTTGTATGACTGGGTCTAGGAGAATCAGACCGTCAAAGAGGGACGGGTGCATCATAGAGAGATGAGCCCTGTCATGTCAATATCCTGGCGCATGCAAGCTGATCAGGAAGGACTCACAACTGCAGTCCACCCATGCTGTGGCCGATCCCAATCAGCGGCTGGGGGATCTGTTCTTGAAAAGTGTTGATCATAGAAAGGAGATCACGTCCATGGTCAAACCAGTCGGCTACAATGGAGTCAGAGGCATACAATCTGCGTCTGTCCTTTCGGAGATAACCCACGGTCATGACCCAGAATTGATTCGTTGAGGATACCGCTTTGCCCCTGCTGGGCGACGTCCGCAATCCAAATCGAACGAATGCGTCTGTTTTGGCTCAGTAACCTGTCATGGATGTCGTCCCACAACGGCTCGTAAAGTTCCTATCCTCCGAGTTAGACTGGTTGCCGAGATGCGGACAAGGAGTTTGTTACCTTTGGAAAGCCATTTGCATGAGCCCCGATGATAGTGACATCGCCCTCTTTCGGGCAGGGGTTGTTGAGGGGAATATACTGCTTCACAGCAAGTCTCAGCTCGTTTTCGCGTCCGGTTATGACGGCACCCGGTTGCTCTCGGACGTGTTGACCGCGTGTGATATGCTCGACAACTCGAAAGTGCGACATGGATTTTCTGGATGGCAAGGCCAATGGGTTGACTATTCGGCGGGCTTGTGACCTGGCCAGCATTGTGGGAGCAACAGGAGGGGGAAGAAGTAAACGGGCTACAATCCATTGAAATAAGGAACAACAAGATCACACTAATCATACTATGTACGTCTAACACTTGAGGACCAGCCCTCCCCGCCTACTTTACCGAGGTTCCCATTCATGGGATTTACCACCGTTAGTGGATTTGCAGCCCGATTGGCTGCAGATCAACTCCACCGTGTCGAGCGGACTGTTGCTGCGCCGGTAGTCTCGGTCATCCGCGATATCTATATCACGCATATATGGAGGAAGTGTTGGAGGGATTCTGAACGCGCCTTCCTTCTTGCCGCCGCGCCCTGCGTGTCGTTCGGGGCCCCACAGCAACCATGTCACAACAATATCTCCCACATTGTAGTGTGAAGACGTGGAACCCAGAAAATGAGTTTGTTGATCAGCGAGGACTTTCGCCTTCAAATTTATATGTTGATAAGTTAATGAACTCCCTATCGACTGCTTCCTGTATGCCGCGAACCCAAAGCATGGCCATCTTGTCATAGCCATCATCGTTCGGATGAATCCCATCAACGAGACCCCTGACGTCAGGTCCCTCCGGCGAGTACATGTCTACTAGCACAATTCTCTTGTGCTCGGTCGCCTTCTTTTCGGCCAACGCACGAAACTGAGCATTGACGCATTGTACCATCGAATCCACCTCCTTGTCGGCACAGGCGATCAAAGTAGAGAGTAAGACCGTGGACTGCGGGCGAGCTCCCCAAAGAAACTCAAGCAGTTGACTCATGCGCTCTCCCACTTCCGTGACCCCAAAGGCTTGAAGACAATCATTGGAACCGGCATTGACCATGACGATATCTGGAGAAAGTCCTTCCACCGACCTCCTGGCCTTCCTTTCGATCTCGTCGATGCGGAACCCACGCCAGCCCTCATGCTCACCGTTGGACATGGAACCATCCCTGCGCGATCCCACCATTCGAGCATTGACGCCACGCTGCTCGAGCATCCGCAACAGCGACTTCCTGTATCCTGCTCCATGAGAAGAACCCACACCACGCGTGACGGATCCGCCCAGGGGCATTAGGCGCAACGTATGGCCAGAAGGGGGGTCTGCAGTAATCAGGAGTTAGTGCCAGGCGTGGGTTCGTAGAGCGCCGCTACTCAAAGCCTCACTCAAACAATACAGACCTTTGGGTCTTGGGGACTTCAAGTTGGACATATGACGTTTAGCTCGGGGGGTTGGCAATCGACCGAGGAAGGAAATGCGCAACTGTGACACATCTCGTCGAGGCGGAAATGGGAGCAGCCGTTGCATGCTGCTACCGCATAAGCGACGTATCTTGAGATGTAGTAGGTAAACTGCGAAAGAAAAATGCGAAAGAAAAAAAAAAGGCGGTTAGAGTTGAAATATTTGGATGCCGCATGACGGAGCCTCGGCGGAATGCCTGGAGAACAGAACGGGGCCTGTGAATCACTCGATCCCCACTCCGTCTCTCCATGTTCATCAAGACCCCGTCTTGCTCTTTTCCCACTCTCCATCGCCCAATGATTTCTTTCTTTCATTCATTGTTTTTGAGGCCTATGGTGAAAGTAATTAACCGAGTAGAATCAGGCTAATCACCTTGCTGTGTCGGGGTGAAAGGTTGATTGATCTCATCTTAGGGATACAAAGAATCATTCTGACTACTCAGTTATGCTTGGGTAGATTTTACATATTGCTGAATGGTGATATCTCAAAAGCCAGATAAGAAAAAAAAAAGATTTGATTGATATTCCACTGCCTAAATCCGAATCGCGCACAATGTACCTTGTTGTTTTCTTCTTGTTTTTTCTTTCAACCCCTCGAGCTCACTGCTATGTCGTATCCTAGAGCTTTGAAGCACAATGAAAAAGATATATACATGTATGTACATACTTGATCTCCCCTGCTCGAGCCTAAGGAGTGACGATGTTGAAATCAGGATTCCCAGGATCAAGCAACGACGCAAGAGTATCCAGCGCATCGGTATCACCATCAATCTTAATCCCCGCCTTCCTCAGCTGTAGCGGTTTAGGCCCATAGACCGCAAGCGCAGTCAGCTGCTTACTCGTCCCAGTCAGGGTCACAGCAGCGTCGCCCGGCTGCTTCGCCGTGCTGTAGACGAGCGCGCCGTTCGACAGCCACCACCGGTAGGTGAGTCCCAGGTCGGTGACGACGACGTCGATCGCCAGCTCCGTATCCCAGGCGTTGGGCCCGTTGATCTGGACGGCCGTGGCGTCGAAGAGCATCTCGGGGGTGAGCTGGCTCAGGACGTCCGGCGCGCTCGTCTGCGTCGGCGTGCCGAAGTTGCCCGTGCGCAGCTCCGTCGAGCCTGAGATGAAGAAGTTGCGCCAGGTGCCGTTCTCGGAGCCGTAGCCGAGCTGCTCGTAGACGTCGGCGAGGAGGTCCTTGGCGGGCTTGCTGTCCGGGTTGGCGAAGACGGCGTGGTTGAGCAGCTCCGCGGCCCAGCGGAAGTCGCCCGTTTTGAACGCCAGGCGGCCCTTGCTGATGATTTCGGCGAGGCCGCCGGCGAGTTCGACGTAGCGTTTGGCTTTCTCGACGGGCGTGTGTTCCCAGAGGTGGGCCGGGTTGCCGTCGAACCAGCCGCTGTAGCGCTGGTAGATGGCTTTCACGTTGTGGTTGATCGAGCCGTAGTAGCCGCGGGCGCTCCAGGCTTTGTCGAGGGCTGGGGGCAGGGTCATCATCTCTGCGATCTCGGGGCCGTTGTAGCCCTTGTTGAGGAGGCGGAGGGTCTGGTCGTGGACGTAGGCGTAGAGATCGCGCTGGGAGGTGAGGAAGTTCATGAGGTTCTCGTTGCCCCAGGTTGGCCAGTGGTGGGAGGCGAAGACTACCTCTGCGTCGTGGCCGAAGAGGTCGATGGTCTCTGTCAGGTACTTGGACCAGGAGTGCGGGTCGCGGACCACCGCGCCGCGCAGGGTCAGGATGTTGTGGAAGGTGTGGGTGGCATCCTCCGCGGCGCACAGTGCCTTGAACCCGGGGAAGTAGATGAGCATCTCGGATGGGGCCTCGGTGTCCGGGGCCATCTGGAACACCATCTCGACCTCGTCGATGGTGTGGGACTCACCCGTCGTGGTGATATCCACGTTGGGCGCGATGAGGGTGACGGTCCCCGTGGAGACGGTCTGTCCGAGCCCAGCGCCGATCTGACCGCTCGGTCCTCGCTCGAGGGCAGCCCCGTACATGTAGGCGGCGCGGCGGCTCATGGCCGTGCCCGTGAAGACGTTCTCGGAGACGGCGTGCTCGAGAAAACCCTCCGGCGCAAGGATCTTGATGTCGTTCTTCTCGACCTCCTCGTCCGTGACGATGCCTCGAACGCCTCCGAAATGGTCGACGTGGGAGTGCGTGTAGATGATGCCCTTGACGGGCCTGTCGGCGCCCCGATGCTCCTTGTAAAGAGCGAATGCGGCAGCACCCGTCTCCTGCGACGTGAGGGGGTCGATGACGATCAGGCCCTCTTTGCCTTCGATGAAGGTGGTGTTGGAGAGGTCGAGCCCGCGCACCTGGTAGATGCCTTCGGTGACCTGATACAGCCCGTCCAGGTGGACTAGCTTTGATTGACGCCACAGACTAGGGTTGGCCGTGTCTGGCGCCTCCTCTTCCAGGAAATCGTAGGCATCATTGTCCCACACGGTTTCGCCCTGGTCGTTGTCCACGGTATTTGGGTTCCGACGGCCGATCAAGCCCCTGGAGGCGTTGACAAAGTCGCGCTCGTCATCGAAGGGCAGGGTCTCTCGGATCTGCGCCTGCTGATCGATGATGAACTGGCTTGCGGGTTTGGGCTCAGACATCGTGAGAAGAAAATGGGAAGTAGCGTTGAGACTTGTTGTAGTGAAGGAAGTTTGAAGTGGTGTTGCTGTTTGAAAAAGGAGGAAGTGGTGGTCCATCGTCTCGCTTTTATATCCTCCTCTTCCGACCCCCTCCAAGCAAGTCTCTCTTGCCCAACCTCACATTCCTGTCTCTCGTGGCTCGTGTCCCGTTGCTTCAATCTATGCTGCATACAGCAAGAGGCAGGGGCTCGGGGCCAATGTAACCCATTGCATGCCGCCACGATGCACGTTGAAGAGATCGAAACTCCCTCTTGTTCAGCTCGCCGACTCACTTTTGCGCTACCTGGTGCGGGGTTGAAAGGACCGTACATGAAGAACATCATCATCTCTCGCAACGTATGCCAGATAGGTTGAGGCATCGCATCAATCACTGCAGCCGATGACGAGGCCATCGACCAGTCGGGATTCCCGATAGATGCATCCTCCATCCAGGCGCTCAGCTGTACTATCACAACCCCATTCAAGTCCGACTAAGGCATGGTCTTGGTACTATCACACAGGTTTCTGATCCTTGTGGATTTTGCCACGCTAAACAATGGGGTGGCGACTGTGTCTCCGGTACCCCACGTATTCTGTGGAAGGAGAACGGCTTCGGCATCCGGCTTAGTGCTACTAGAGCCAGAGGGGGTAGGCAGCGGGCTGATGGTACTAGATTTTCTTGGTATGCAATCTGCTAGCCGTGCTTGAGCTCTAATTTGAACGAGTAAAAAGGACGATGCATAGGCGGATCGGGTATGCAGGTGCTATGCGGGGCGATGGGAAGCTAGGCTTGGATCTCGCTCCTCGTCGCCAATAAAGAGAAGGGTAGATCATACTAGGTATGCCCTACGCGAGACGGGAAGCAGATGAGGAGAAACAGGGCGAGAAAGAGAAAGATTGACTGTGGTGGCTTGCGCAAAGAATCCACGAGTGGGATAGGAGAGACCGTGGTTGGTTTACTAGATCTGCCACATACAACAACTGCAGATGAACGGGGTCGATTTGTCGACACGACAGGGAAAACCCTACCTGAGGTTAAAAAAGCCTGCTTTCGTTATGAGCTACACTGTCCCTTGGTCAGGCCAATGTCTAGAACAATAAGCTAGGTCCATCATAGTCTAGTGGACAGGGGTTCCAGAGTAACCTAACCCTATCACGAACATCAAGGCTATTTGTTCAATTCCCGTATGTTGTTGTATCCACCCCCCTAACAATCAAATCTCTATGCCAAGAGAATGACTGCAGGATATCCAATTGTTGAGGAAGTGCAGAGTAGACAGATGGATCCTCACACCTGTTTCCATAATGCAGCAGACCCTTTGGCAGCGTCCAGGACTCCAAGCTATGGGGTATTAGACGGGCTTATAGCCTGAGCATGTTTATAATCAGATGGTCACTCTGTGGAAATAGGGGATGAAAACACGTCCTAAACAATGTAATGATGATATTGAGCTATGGAAAGGTGGCAGATGGTTGAAAAAATCATCAACATATACACAGTCAAATCGTGTGAGACGCCCTGCAGGTCAGCTGACATGCCTCGATTGTAGTCACTTCCACCCCCTCTACCATATGTCTGACAGTCTTTTTTTTTTTTTTTTTTTTTTATCATGTCTATGTTTATGTATAGTAAGTTGGTAACTAGTCTTACTATCTACCAAATAAAATGGTTGAATTCTGACATATTACATAAGCCAAACAATTCTCACTGATCGATTCCTCCACGTATTCAAGATATATATAATCAAGTACAACAATAGCGACTCTCGCTCACGTCAAGGTTCACCTCTTATATCAGACAAAACCCCTTCTTCTCCTGTTCTGATTCCGAGTTCTTTGCTCGTGGGTGTTCTGTCAGAACTCTTGTGTCTAGAATCGCATATATGTTCTGTTTTCCTGCTGTTCGATATGTTCCGCTCAATAGAGTCTAGTAGTCAGGATTAGTGCGGGGAGCAGATGTTTCATCCTCTTCAAACCGATCCCTCGCTGACTAGCGGACTGTACCCCATATGGATACTGAATAATACTGGATGTAAGTAATACATCTCGATCTTTCTCTTCTAGTTATCTCAATGTCACCATGATTCATCTTACATGATCCACCATTCCAATCACAGTTGCCTAGAGATGTTCCTGATCCATGATCTCATAACTCCCTCCTGAATCCGCTTCCTTCTCGTCGTCATCCAAGACGTAGACGCGCTAGACTGGCTGACAACCGGCTCCACTTGATGCTCCACTCGGTCTCCGACCGTGGTCCCTGGGCTGCAATTTAAACCATTCCTCACCACCACATTTTTATCTTTCTCGAACTCACTCTCAATTATTTACTGACTCCCTCTCTCTCCCTCTCCTTCTCTCTCTCTTCTCCCGTGGAATTGATTTCCTCTTGCGGGGCTGTGTCTTTTCGTTGTCTCCTCGTTTTACAGCGCTTCCATGATTTGAACACCGACATCCTGGCTGTGTCCTTTTATCTGCATCTTTCCCCTTCCCCTTATCCCAGTGAATCCGACCTACCTGGTTCATTGCTAAATATCGCTGAATATCACGGGTCCTGGCGACCGATCGATACTTGGAATCGCACCAGGATCGCGTGATTCGACCGTGGAGCAGGTTGGAGAGTTTAAGGCTCATTCCGTCACTGCGCCATCATCCTCAGGATCGCAGGATCATCGATCTTCTCCTGTCGCAGTACACCAACCTCCTCTTCTCCTCCCATTTACCGATATTTTCTCTTTGATCTGTATTATTCATCGCTTTTCCATCTTTCTATTTGACCTCTATCCCCACCTTGATTTATCTTGTTATCCCCATATCTCCCATCCGTTACGTCCATGATTTCCTCCCGGCGCGCAATCCCCTTCCTCGGCCTAGCCTTCCTCTGCATCTTCCTCTATACCGTCCGGAGTCTCTCGCGAGAATGGCAGTATATGCCCCAGAAGGTTGGGCTGGGCGAGCTCGTCAACCCCGCCTCCGGACGCTGGAATATTAGCTCCCCAGACGACCACCCCGTCCGACAACCGTACGCCCCGCGACCGCATTATATCCCCGGCGTGCCCAAACCCCCCGGGGCGCCCTACTCCAAGATGCTGGTCGTCCCGAAGACTCAAGAGGAGGATGTGTCGTGGATGGGTGACGGCATCCCCGGATGGCAGTCCGCCGTCTACGTCGTCGACGACCCGGCCGCCCCGCTGCACCCGCCCAAAAACAAAGGCCACGAGGTCATGGTCTACCTCAGCTACATCATCGAACACTACGACCGTCTCCCCGACATCATCGCCTTCATGCACTCCCACCAATTCGCCTGGCACAATGACGACTTGTTCAATGGCGACGCCGCCGACATGCTGGCCCGTCTCAACCCCGCCCGCATCGTGCGCGAGGGCTACATGAACCTGCGCTGCAGCTGGGGGCCCGGCTGCCCCGACTGGCTGCACCCCGGTGCCATGGAGGAGAACGAATCCAAGCAGGAGGAGACCATGCTGGCCCGCTCCTGGGGCGAGATCTTCCCCGACGACCCCATCCCCGACGTCCTGGCCCAGCCCTGCTGCGCCCAATTCGCCGTCTCGCGCGAGCGCATCGTCTCCATCCCCAAGGCCCGCTTCGTCTACTACCGCGACTGGGTCCTCCGCACCGAGCTGAGCGACTACATCTCCGGCCGCGTCTGGGAGTACCTGTGGCATGTCGTCTTCACGGGCGAGAACGTCGTCTGCCCCAAGGAGCACGTCTGCTACTGCGACGCCTACGGCATCTGCTTCGGCGGCGAGAACGAGTACAACGACTTCCGCGGCCTCGGCAACCGCCGCAACGAGATCGAGGACCAGCTCAAGGACTGGCGCACCGACGCCGAGCTCATCGAGATCGAACGCATGAACGGCGACCTAGGCGAGACCAGCCAGCTGAAGATTCCGGAGCCAGGGCAGGACGTCGAGCTCGAGAAGCAGATTGTCGATCAGGAACTGCTGATCGAGGAGACTTTCCGCAATGCCACCATCCGGGGAGAGGACCCGCAAGCGCGCGCCCACGAAGCGGGGCGGCCCTGGAAGGAGGGAGACGGCTTCTAGGCCGGTGGGCACGTTGATCGCCGCCATTATTTTTTTATTATTATTATCTATTCTCGTGTTGATATTTCACATTTTGATCGTCCCGTGGGATCGCAGGTTGTCCTTGCTGGGTATCTCCCGACGTGTTTGGTTCTTGTGGATTCTTTTTTGTCTTTCTTTGACTAATGGCTTCGGGGTCGGTGTTGGATGTTTGATATCCGGTTGAATGTTTTCGAATGCGTGGATACCATTTGCTCATGCAGATCGCATAGCGTCATATTTTGGCAGGTTCCAAATTGGATCATGATATTTCTCCAATCTGTATTTTATACTCCGTAGGAATGATCATATTCTCTGTAATGTGGAGCCTGAACATCCAGGCAACAGGTGACAGGCGGACTTTCCTCCCCCATTAGCACCGGATAAACTACACGGATAAACCCCCCAACTTCACAGCCCTGCAGAGTTTGCACTGTCTGCCGTTCCTTCAAACCACACAAACAGCGTCATCTGGACCCGCGACCATATCGGCTCCATCTATCGCGAATCTCGACGCGACTTAGCTTGCCCTTGAAGATTGGAAGCTCAGAGCTTCCCATGTGCTCTCGTGGTCTTGCTGACCAGCTTCTTCCGCTGCTGCGCCTCTTGTCCTGGACGTGACGGGACCGATTGACCCAACGGTCCTGTGTTTTTACTCCCCTGTGTCCCTTGCTGGACGACAACGGGCTCCCCGATCGGACTTGGGAGCTCTGCGCGGCGCCTCTCATCGCGTTTGATTTCGCTACGGACCGACCTACGGCACTTGTGAGCTTGGGTCTCGCAGATTGTCGCTGACTCCCTGGAAATCTTTGGGAATTCCTGCGTTCGTCACGATCATATTCGGCGGTCGAGGCTCGGATCATTCTACGGAAATACCCCGTCAACCGCCACCACATACACACACACTCTCTCTCCAGGCTGTCCCAGTCTCGCTTCGCCAACCTCACACGATCCGCGCTTGTTTGGCTCACCTCGGAGCGATCGCCTTACCACCATCTAACCACCAATAATGACATCGGCCTCGGGCTCCAACGGCCAGCATCCCCCGACCACTTCGGCTCCGGATTTCTCGACGAATCATACAACCGCTGCATCCAATGTCGATTCGAACACCCACATGGCCGCTGGGGGGTATGCGCCTAACGAGAACCAGCTCGCCGGCCTGGTAGAAGCCGCGACGGCTGCAGCCGGTCAGGATGTCTCGGAGTGGGCGGCTGCCGCGGCGGTCGCTGCAGCCGCTGGCGCGACAGGACACCAGCATCATTTGGATGGGTACGGACCGGAGATACACATCGACGATGACGGCTTCGGGGACGCGAACTTTGGGACCAGCATGGGTGCTGGGAGACAGTTGCGGGGACCGGGATCTGAGCAGACGGGCCAGTCGACCGGGTTAACGCGGACGGCTACGAAGAAAAGGAAGAGAAACGAGGAGCCGCTGGACCCGGCGCTGACGGCTGGACCTTCGGGTGCGGGTCTCGGGGGGACGCCATCGCAGCATCAGCACCAGCAACAGCAACAACACCAGCAGCACCAGCATTCCCACTACGGCGGAGATGGATTGGAGATGCGGGCTGCCCCGATCCAGACGCTGGCCGATGCACGCTCTATTGGCTTGCATTCGGCTGCGGCGCTCTTCCGACAGCCGTCTAGCAACAAGGGGTCTGCGGCGAACAAGAAATGCACCCGTCCTCCCATGTCGAAGCTCTTTTCCTCGCTGGAGCTGTCGCCGGAGAACTTCCTCCACTTGCAGGCTGCCGCCAAGGGCTACATGCTCGATGACAAGTACCCGGAGCGGCGGGAATGCGTCGGCCAACGCGGCAAAGGCGACACGGAGATGGTCAAGCTCCGGTTGTGGAACTGCGTGCGCCAATTCCTCGAGGGCGAGGGCCACGGCGAGCGCTTCTTCGGGGAGAACGTCGTCAACGAGGGCATGGGCCCGAGGACTTATATCTGGCCGCGAGACCAGCAGAAGATCATCACCCTGGTGATCCCCCTACTGCGACGGATGGTGACCAACGAACGACAACGGCAGTACGCCGTCGAGACGAGGAAGGGCGGCGGCGAGGAGCGACGACGACGCAAGACCGAAGACAGTCTCCCGAACTTCAACAGCCCGAGTACATCGCGCTTTGGCGGCGACGACCATCTGCAGATACATACGCAGCATGATTTGCATGATGAGTACCCCCCGAGCCAGCCGCCCATGTCGGCCTCATCCTACACCCAGATGGAGCCCCCTTCACACCACCCACTGGAGGTGGGATTGACGGACCTCCTGCTCCAGGGTTATCCCACCGACTGGAACACGGTGTCCAAGTCGTACGACTTTTACAATCAGAACTACGAGATGGACCACCTGTGGCAGCTGTCTGGTCTGCAGCCGCCGGACTGGCGCGGGCTCGTCGCCGCCGTGGACAGCCATTATCAGGTCTACCATCATGGCGGCGCCGACTGCCCTACGCCGTGCGAGGACGAAAATGTCGGCCGCATCTTGGATTCCCATGCCACTGCTGATCTGCGATGGAGAATTGGGGGTTCTAATCGGCCAACCCGAAATGAATTGTACGTCTCTCTCTCTTTAACAACTCTTTTAACGACATCACTAACCCGCCCCTAGTGCGAGCAGCATCATCCACGACATCTCGCGCATCATCCGCGACAGCCTCTCTTCCCCCAAAGACGAAGTCCCCTCATCCACCCACAACCTTTCCCACCCCCAGTCTTTCCCACCATTACCCCCCAACCCGTCCACCCCCACCTCCAACTCCAACACCACCAACAACCCCAACGCCAACAACAACACGCACCCCATCTCCCTCCGCCTCAACGTCCTCCAAAACGGCAAACGCACCCTCCCCCGCTTCGACCTCCCCGCAGGCCACTGTCCCGACCTCGAAACAACGCGACAGCTCATCGCTCGCCGCTTCGCCGGCCAATTACCCGGCATTCCTCCCCCTCCTCCATCCGACTCGTCTTCTGCCCTCGACCCAGCAACGTGGACGTCTTCCACATCACCGTGGAAATTCAAGGTGTGGCTGCCGGATGGGCTTACGACGGTGCATAATGATGGCGAGTGGACTATTGCGCTGTTGTCGGCTAGTAGTGTTGATTGGATGGATGGAGATTTGAGGGTTTTGGTGGAGGTTGGGGAGGAGGTTTGATCTTTTTTGCCCTCCTCTCTTCTTTTTGTGTTCGATGGGGTTTGATTGAGCTGTGAAAAGCATGGGGTGGTTCGTTTAACGGTCTGGTTTTTATTCCCATGGCTATGTTATCTTTCTATCTTACGGTTGTTTGAGTGACTTGGTAGACATGCCTTGTGAAATGGGTGGAAAAAGGGCCCAATGGAGAATGGAGGATGCCTGGGGTTTGCATACTTTCTTCTTCTTTTACTTCTTTTTTTCTTTTTCTTTTCTTCTTATTCCTCCTTTCAGTTCTATCCTATTTCATTTATTCTCTATTCCTTATTTCTTTTCTTTACCACTACTACTTTTATTGATATCTATGGTTTCCTCTCTCTAGGTTAGGGACATCCATCCATTCATGCCTTGATGTCCTCGTCTGTTTTATTCCTTTCGCTTTTTCTTTCTTTCTCTTCCTTTTGTTTCTTCCTCGCTGTAATTGTGAATATGAGATATGATGCAGACAGAGTTTTCTTTTTCCTTTGAATCCATTTAATTTCTCGAATTAGCGAGCTATATGTATCGATAACTATATCCAACTGTAATTGTAACCGTGGCTACAGTTGTACCTAGTTGTATCTATATACGTCGCTGTGTCTGTGTCTGTTGATGAACCATTGTGACGGGTCTTTGTCTAAATTGTAGCCCTGAGTATATGTAGCTTGGAATAGCAACTAGTGGAGGTAGCGTGCAAGCTACCCATTGAACTATGTTGTTCTACTACGGAGACGATGACGAATGTGACTATTTCTCAGGAGAGTATGATAAAGTAGACTCGTAGCTAGGTAGACCATGCATAATTTCAAAGTAGGTAGGTAAGTAGCTAACTGAATCTGTCATGGATGGTGCCACGTACGTGAATCATCACTGATCGCCTAAGACTCAGCATGCGATGTAACCTGTAGATGGCCTGCGAGTCGGGTGTCTGATCGACTGTGAATGTAAGGTACATAGGTATGAAAGTCGATATCACCTGCTGTTCTCAGCGGGAGATAGACGGTGTTCTTCATTCTTCATGCCTTCGTTTGAAAGTCATTCAGACTTGAAGCGTGGTGTGCCTCTCTGTCTGCCTGGGCAAAGCCATGCCCAAACGAGTGATCTTGTAGGTCACTCCACTCGTGCGTTCCTGACATTCAGGTGTGGTTTTAGGGTGTGACGAACCTCAGTGCGACGTACTGATCTATCGGTAGTACCAGAGGACGATCCCCGTCGCTGCAAGACCTAAGGCTTGTTCTAGCGACTCAATTGCAGGACGGAAGCAGCTAGTGCAAGCTGGTCCATGTATAATCGGCCTTTCAGCTAAGCGCGATTAGCCAGCAGCGGGAGTCTCCGAGCCGCCTTCCGGTTCCCCCAATGCTAAGCGTGCCTTCTTGGCCCGACGCTTCAATTCCCGTTTAGACAGAGCCTTCTCCGGCTCATCGGTGGTAGTGTCTGCACCAACCGACGCCTTTCTTTTCAAACCGTCGCCGTTGTTCTCGACCGGTGCACCTTTCTGTTTACCCGCGGCCTTCTGACCCTTCTGCGCGTTGCCCTTTCGTTCGACTGTCTTCCCCCCGTCCACGACATCCACAATCCCGCGCCAGCTCGTGCGCTTCAGCTTAGCCAGCGCCGTCGTCTTCCTCGCCTCTTCGCAGATCGCCTCCTTCCCCCGCTCCTGCGACAAGCCCCAGACGCACGTCAAGTTGATCACATCCCACGGCGCGCGCACTCCCAACGCCCGCTTAGCCTCGCTCGAGACGATAATGCCGCGACCACGCGTCGCACGAATCAAGGACATGGCATTGCCGATGAGGTTCCGTCGCGCGTCGGGCCCGCTCCCCGTGACGCCCGGGCCGTAGCAGATCTCAAGACGGATCCCACGTGCGATGGCGGCGGAGAGCATCTTGAACTTGAAGTGGTACGGGTGTCTCACGGAGAGGTCGAGCGAGATCACATCGCAGTCGAGGTTGGTGCACGCGTTCAGGAGGCATTTCTCGTTGGTGGGGCGGACCGCGACGAGGTCATAGACCTGCGCCAGGTTGTTGAGCCGCTGGTTCTGCGCGGGGTCGGAAAAGGTCAGGTTCAGGCGGGTCAGGAGTGTCAGGCCCTTGGGGGTGTTCGCGGGTGTTGGCGGTGGTGATAGATCGGTGGGCAGTTTGCCGGCAATGGTTTGGGATAGAGCGACCGTTGTGTAACCCACTACGAGTCAGGTCAGCGTCTCATGTGGTCGGGCAAGTTTTGCAGGCCGGCTGGTCTTGTGAGGGGAGAGGGGGAAAATGACATACGTTCAGCTAGGAAGTTTAGGGTGTGGGAGATCTCGGGATCATCCGGGCTGTACGGGACGTTGAGATCATAGAACATGTTGACCAAGGGATTGATTAAAAAGGACGACGATCTCCACTGACTGTGATCTAGAGGTATACAGAATTATAGATACAGATGAAGCTGTCCGAGAAAGGAAATTGAAAATCTCCCGCATCAATATCTTTCCGGGTCCGACTGACATAAGCAAGATATCCCACCACGTGACCGGTGCAAAGGCGGAGCCGAAATTAATGCTGGGAAGTTCGCCCGATCATCATCTGCGTATAAGAATTGCCTACCCAGATTTCATCTTGGCTGTCATCGCTGCTCTCGGACGATAGCACGGCTGCACTGTTCGGACAGGCTTGGTTTCCCCCCCTAGTCTTGCAGCTGCGGTTGTCGGTCCTCTTTTTGTCTCAATCCTTCCATTCCTCTGCACCGGTCTGTGCCACCCCTCAGCCCTACCCCGCCGTCGTTGGGAAGTCATTGTCGACCAGATCTCCATTGTCAGCCGCCGTTACCATGGCGCGCGTTTACTCCGATGTCAACGACCGCATGCCCCGGTCATACTGGGACTATGACAGTGTGAACATTTCCTGGGGGGTTCTGGAGAACTACGAGGTGGTCCGTAAGATCGGTAAGGCAGTCATCTCCATTCGCTCGATGATAGGACGAGGGCCCCGCATGCTAACAGTCTGCCCACAGGCCGTGGAAAGTACTCGGAAGTCTTCGAAGGTATCAACGTCGTCAACTACCAGAAATGTGTCATCAAGGTCCTCAAGCCGGTCAAGAAGAAGAAGATCAAGCGAGAGATCAAGATCCTGCAGAACCTGGCAGGCGGCCCCAACGTGGTGGCCTTGTTGGATGTGGTCCGGGACAGTCAGAGCAAAACGCCGAGTTTGGTCTTTGAATATGTCAACAACACCGACTTCCGCACCCTCTACCCGCGGTTTACCGACTACGATGTTCGCTTCTACGTCTTTGAGCTGCTGAAGGCCCTGGACTTCTGCCACAGCAAGGGCATCATGCACCGAGATGTCAAGCCGCATAATGTCATGATCGATCATGAGAAGCGCAAGGTTGGTTTTCCAGGGTTCTCGGGACTATGACATGGGCTAACGGACATTAAGCTTCGTTTGATCGATTGGGGACTGGCTGAGTTCTATCACAAAGGCACCGAGTACAATGTGCGAGTCGCATCGCGCTACTTCAAGGGCCCTGAACTGCTGGTGGATTTCCAGGAGTACGACTACTCGCTCGACATGTGGTCCTTGGGAGCGATGTTTGCGTCTATGATCTTCCGCAAAGAGCCCTTCTTCCACGGCAACAGCAACTCCGACCAGCTGGTCAAGATTGCCAAGGTCCTTGGTACCGAGGAGCTGTTTGAGTACTTGGACAAGTACGAGATCGAGCTGGATCCTCAATACGATGAAATCCTCTCGCGCTTCCCCCGCAAGGCCTGGCATAGCTTCATCAACGCTGAAAACCAGCGGTTCGTCAGCGAGGAGGCCATTGATTTCTTGGACAAGCTCCTGCGCTATGACCATGCGGTATGTTGCTGTTTTTCTTTCCGTTCGCTGATTCAGGGTAACTGACCACTCGTGTAGGAGCGTTTGACCGCCCAGGAAGCCATGGCCCACCCGTTCTTTGAGGTCGTCCGGACCACCGAAGCACGGAGGAACAACACGACGTCAGCGTAGGCTCGAAACGTCGAGACGAGCCATATTTTTCTCATGTTACCGAACTTTCTAGGTGCCTGGCTCCCTGTGCTCGGCAACCTGGATTACTTGATACGCATGCTTCATGTGGTTCTACATTGAAACAGGGGCCCTAAAACAGAAAGAACCGGATCAAGAAAAAGACAAAAACAATAAAAAAAAAGATATGATACTGTCGTATCGCTGGTTGTTTTAGGCCGGTACGATCGAAAGGGCGTGGAGAATGATTTATGGCATATCGACAGCGACGACGATGATGAACAGATGACTTACACCTAATCAGTTGGCTACCGTCCCTCTCAGCCCAATTCCTCCGCGTGCCCCGCGTGACGGTAGTGAGCTAGCTTCCTTCCTGTTTAATTCTGCGTAACCACACAGCCAGCCTCTCTCTGTCCTTTTCTATTCCCAATTTCTCTCTCCCCGTGTCATGTTGGACTGGTGTTGATGGGATCTTGCTTGTTTATCTGCTTTACGTTTTGTCCTCGTGATTCTTTTTTGTTCTTTGATTCTGTGAATGTTTTGCATTTACGTTTATGCCTATGACTATTCTATTTCCAATACCATTGCCTGTGAACAAATCATGATCAGTCATTGAAGGGCGTGAGGGTCTGCTTTCTTTTGAAGGGATGAACAATGCTTTGTGAGATAGATCCCACTCGGCAACCGCCTTGGTTAGGAGGCCAGATAGACAGAAGGGTTCATTGTATCCAACAGTGATTTGCTAGTAGTGGTCATTAAGGGAGAATGTCCGTCGCCAAGAGCAGCACACGGCAACGCAACAACAATCGATTGGTGTTAAGAGTCACTAAGCAGAAAGCATAATCACGTATGGCATGTTACGGGAGTAGGATACGAGTGTCAAGCTTAGTATCCTGACCTGTCTTGCAATAATTTTATACTTACTTTTCCACTCAAGTCAAATGCGAGAATAGGTTTGATTGCAATAGGCTAGTGATCCGCCATCAAAGATTCCTCACCACAGATTAATCTTACCTTGACATGCGGACTATGCAGCATATGTATAGTCCCCCACCATTGACAAAAGGGTCTACTACGCTCTCCACGCCTCTCACCATCAAAGCCATAAACAGCCTGGCTGTGAAGCTGGCACAACTGGCTCTGGAGGATGTTAGGGCTCGACGACCGATAAGATAAGCCATCCTTATCCGCATCGGCACACCACGTGACATGCATGTTTTCTTCCTCGCCGGAAAAGCCGCAAAGATGGATAGAATCAAAGACTGAAGACAACAGAGATCCCCAGGAAACGGAGACTGATCTTCAACGACCAACACAATCCACCCAGTCTCCTCAGATATCATAGGACTATGTTAGCCTGACTACCAGCCTAACCTAGTCCCTCCACGGTACGAGAACCAGAGTTGAAAGACCCTCCAGCCAATTCTCCACCACCACCACCCAACGTCGCCGTTTCATTCGCTGATTCGTTCCGGTCTTTTACTTTGCGGCAGGAAATAATTTAGTTGCCCGCATTCGCACAACAACCGCCCCTCCCCCTCCTTCGTTCTCTCTCGCTCGCTCTATCGCGGTCTGACTCACCCCGCTGTCAAGATACTTATCCGACAACTCGTGGCGCGATCGGCGCCCTGGAGACTTCCTCCTCCGACTTATCGTGCATTTTCCAGAATGGCTCAATCCTCTGCCCCCCAGAATCCGAGTATGTATTCCTTTCTTTTCGTTGCCGTGGACGTTACTGCCTTAGGCTGGGTCTCAGGCTAATGTCGTGACTTTCTTATAGCTGGTGAGCCCGCGGCTCCCGTCGTGAGCCCTCCCCCTCAGGCCGATGACCAGACGAGAAACCAGAACGCCGATGCTGTTGCTGTGCCTCCGAAGGTGAAAACCGAGAAAGATTGTATGTCCTTTGTTACCTTGTATCCAGACCATTGGCGCATGGATGGTCTTTGATATTGAGACGCATCAACTTTTTTCTTCTTCCCTTCCACTAACACCGAATGTGTGATATCAGTGGAGAAGGAGCGCAAAAAGGCCGAGAAGGCGAAGAAGTTCGCCGAAAAGAAGGCCAAGGCTGCTGCGGCCAAGCCCGCTGCCCCCAAGGCCGAGAAGAAGCCCAACAAGGTCGAGAAGGAAAAGACCACCGACGCCTACGACCCGAGGACCATCGAGACCGGACGGTATGAATGGTGGGAGGAGCGCGGGCTGTTCAAGCCCGAATTCGGTTCCGACAACAAGGTCAAGCCCGAGGGTGCCTTCGTCATCCCTATCCCTCCCCCCAACGTGACCGGCTCCCTCCACATGGGTCACGCCTTGACCAACGCCCTCCAAGACACCATGATCCGCTGGGAGCGCATGAGGGGCAAGACGACCCTGTGGCTCCCGGGTATGGACCACGCCGGTATCTCCACGCAGAGCGTTGTCGAGAAGATGCTCTGGAAGAAGGAGCAGAAGACCCGTCACGACCTCGGCCGTAAGGAGTTCACGGACCGTGTGTGGGCGTGGAAGCACGAGTACCATGCCAACATCAAGAACGCCCTGCAGAGAGTCGGTGGTTCGATGGACTGGTCCCGTGAGGCCTTCACGATGGATCCCAACCTGTCCGCTGCCGTCACCGAGACCTTCGTCCGCCTCCACGAAGAGGGCATCATCTATCGCGCCAACCGCCTGGTCAACTGGTGTGTGGCCCTGAACACGTCGCTGTCCAACCTGGAGGTCGAGAACAAGGAGGTCGAGGGACGCACCCTGTTGGATGTGCCGGGCTACGAGCGGAAGGTCGAGTTCGGTGTCCTGACGCACTTCTGCTACGAGGTCGATGGAAGCAAGGAGAAGATCGAGATCGCTACCACCCGTCCCGAAACCATGATTGGCGATAGCGGTATCGCCGTCCACCCCGAAGACAAGCGTTATCAGCACCTGATCGGCAAAAACGCCCGCCACCCCTTCATTGACCGGTTGATGCCCATCGTCGCCGACCCCGATGTCGACCCCGAGTTCGGTACCGGTGCCGTGAAGATCACCCCCGCTCACGATTTCAATGATTTCAACCGTGGAAAGGCCCACAACCTCGCCTCTATCTCTGTCATGAACGACGACGGTACCTTCAACAAGCAGGCCGGTCCCTTCGCCGGAATGAAGCGCTTCGATGCCCGTTACAAGGTGATCGAGATGCTGAAGGAGAGGGGCTTGTACGTCAAGTGGGAGAACAACCCCATGAAGATCCCCCGCTGTGCCAAGTCCAACGATGTCATCGAGCCCATCCTCAAGCCCCAGTGGTGGATGAAGATGAAGGACCTGGCCGAGCCCGCCATCAAGGCCGTTGAGGACGGCGAGATCAAGATCAAGCCCGAATCCGCCGAGAAGAGCTACTTCCGCTGGATGCACAACATCAACGACTGGTGTCTGTCCAGACAGCTTTGGTGGGGTCACCAGGCCCCAGCCTACCTCGTGAAGATCGAGGGCGAGGATACCGACGAGAGCGACGGCAACTACTGGGTCACCGGCCGTACCGAGGACGAGGCCCGGACCAAGGCCGAGGCCAAGTTCCCCGGCAAGAAGTTCTCCCTGGAGCGCGACCCTGACGTTCTCGACACCTGGTTCTCTTCCGGATTGTGGCCCTTCTCCACTCTGGGTTGGCCCCGCCAGACCCACGACCTGGAGAACCTCTACCCTACCACCGTCCTGGAGACCGGTTGGGATATCCTGTTCTTCTGGGTTGCCCGTATGATCATGCTGGGTATCAAGATGACCGGCAAGATTCCTTTCAAGGAGGTGTACTGCCACTCTTTGATCCGTGACTCCGAGGGCCGGAAGATGTCCAAGTCTCTGGGTAACGTGATTGACCCTCTGGACGTTATGGAGGGCATTGCCATCAACGACCTTCACGCCAAGCTGCTCACCGGTAACCTTGCCGACAAGGAGGTTGCCACTGCCACCAAGTACCAGAAGAAGGCGTTCCCCAAGGGTATCCCTGAGTGCGGTGCTGATGCTTTGCGCTTTGCCTTGGTGTCTTACACCACCGGTGGTAAGTTTATGCTTTCCCCGTTCCGCTGTTGAATCTTCCTAGGAATATTCTAACTGACATATCTTAGGTGGTGACATCGCCTTTGACATCCAGGTCATTCACGGCTACCGCCGTTTCTGCAACAAGATCTACCAGGCTACCAAGTTCGTCCTCGGCAAGCTGGGTGACGATTTCAAGCCCCAGGCCACTCCCTCGAAGACTGGACACGAGTCGCTTTCCGAGCGCTGGATTCTGCACAAGTTCACGAACGCCGCCAAGGAGGTTAACGCCTCTCTGGAATCGCGCGACTTCAACAACTCTGCCGTCGTCATCTACCAGTACTGGTACGCGCAGCTGTGCGATGTCTTCATCGAGAACTCGAAGTACCTGCTGTCGCCCGACGCCCCCGCCGAAATGCAGGAGTCGGCCAAGCAGACACTCTACACGGCCCTCGAGGGCGCCCTGGCCCTGATCCACCCCATCATGCCCTTCCTCACCGAGGAACTGTGGCAGCGTCTTCCCCGCCGTCCCGACGACAAGACCATCTCGATCATGAAGGCCAAGTTCCCCGAGTTCGACCCGTCGTTCCACAACCCCGAGGCTGAAGCCGCCTACGAGCTCATCCTGAACACCTCCAAGGCCATCCGCTCGATCCTGGCTTCGTACGAGATCAAGACCAAGGGTGACATCGTCATCTCGACCTACGACGAGGCCAGCTACAAGGCCGTCTGCGACGAGATCACGAGCATCAAGTCCCTGGGTGGCAAGACCCTCGGTGAGCTCACCGTGCGGGGCCCTGACAACCCGACCCGTCCCGCTGGATGCGTCGTTGCCCCCGTCAACACCCAGGCCTCTGTCTACCTCCGCGTGTCCAAGGAGGTCGCCCTCGAGCAGGAGGAGAAGGCCAAGGCGAGCCTGGACCGCTCCCTCGACGTTGTGCGCCGCCAGCAGGGCCTCATCGGCTCTGCCGCGTGGCAGTCAAAGGCTAAGCCGGAGGTGCGCCAAATGGAGGAGCAGAAGCTTCGCAATGCCGAGATCGAGGCGGCTCAGCTGGAGGAGCAGATTCGCGAGTTTGAGAAGCTGCGTCTGGAGTAAAGAGTTTCCACAAATGTTTCCTTAGAATATTATGCATATAGCACTGCCAAGACAGACGAAATCAATAAATCCATAATGCTGTTATGTGTTAAATAATAAAAATAAGTTTGAACTTGGGTTCTAGTATATGTAAAGTGTGGGCCTGGATACTGCCGTGAGGGTCGGCTTATCGATAAGCGGTGCCAAGCCCTGACCGCCAAACTTTTTTTCTTCCTTTCTTTTCTCACCCAATTTTACCGCGACAAGCAGCCAACGACGCAGGTTCAAATCACAATACCGGAAACTTGCCAAGATGCTCAGAGAAGTGTATGTTCTTACTGCTTATCTTCTTATATATTAAGAAAAATGAATACTGATGAAATCGACGAAACAGAAAACCCAAGAACCCGCGCACCGCGCGGCTGCTCAAAGCCAAAGAGCCCCAGCAAGTCGAACCGCCGAAGCGCACCCTGCTGCTGCACGGATCGAAATGCCCAGGCCCTCTGCAAACCGTCCTGAAGACCTTCCACTCGCTGACGCGGCCGAACTCGGTCCTCTTCCACAAGAAGAACGAGAACATCCACCCGTTCGAGAACACCGAGAGTCTCGAATTCCTGGCCGACAAGAACGAGTGCGGCGTGGTGGTGTTCGGGAGCAGCTCGAAGAAGCGGCCTAACTCGGTGACGCTGGCGCGCATCTTCAACGCCAAGGTGCTCGACATGGCGGAGCTGATGCTGCTGCCTCGTCCGGATGGCGAGGAGAACCCCGCTATGAACAGTCTGAGCATGGAGGTGGGTGTGGGCATGCGGCCTTTGATGATTTACTCCGGGAGTGCGTGGGATGATATGACGTCTACGCCGCATCAGATGCTGAAGAGCATGTTTGTGGATATGTTCAAGGGCGAGACGTCGGAGAAGATCGATGCCGAGGGGCTGCAGTATGCGCTTATGCTGGCGGCTGATGAGCCCACCGAGGGGCTGGCGCCTGTGATTCACCTGCGGTGGTTTAAGATCCGCACGAAGCGCAGCGGGCACAAGCTGCCGCGGGTGGAGCTGGATGAGTTCGGGCCTAAGTTTGATTTCAAGGTCGGCCGTCTGCATGAGGCGCCTCGCGACCTCATGAAGGAGGCTATGAAGCAGGGCAAGCGGCCGAACGAGGACTTCAAGATGAAGAAGAACATCACCGTGGACTCGATCGGTGACAAGGTCGGCCGGGTGCATCTGGCCAAGCAGGATCTGGGCGGCCTGCAGACCCGCAAGATGAAGGGTCTGAAGCGGCGCGCGGGGATGGAGTCGGATGAGGAGGATGCCGAGATGATGGATGTCGATGATGATGAGGAGATTTCGGAGGATGAGGGACACAAGAGGGCGAGGACTGCATGAGTTGGGGGAGAGTTCGGTGGAAGAGATGATGGGTGGTGTCCCTTGGCTCGGATATAACGTGTGCATTGTCTGATTCTATTTCCCATTCTGCACGAGGCGTTTCCCGGTGGTTTGATATAGTTTTTTCTTCTTCCTTCCCTGCGATGAACCAGAGATTCGACCGTCTTCTGGGTACCCTACTGTGTATAGATCTATTCTATCTGCTATGAAAAGTTGCCGGCATTTATCCGGATTGGTCTGACTGTTCCCTTGCCTGTACTATGTTTAAGTATCGCATTAGATATATTGTCACATAATGAAGACAAAAATGTATGATATATCTTGTAGCTGTGTGGTAACCCCTTGTTATATCGCGAATGATGCTATCCCGGTAGATGATGTATAAAACACGTGACATGACGTTTTGCGCCGACTCACATGCCGAGGGTCTTTCCACCGTACGGAGTTCAACGCGGATACTCCACATCCCCCTCCCCCGGCTATCTCAGCGCAATCCTGACACTAATAGCTCGACGACTTCTTCTATTCTTAGTTCCTGTCTGTTCTTTTTCTTCCCCGATCACATTCCGCTCAACCCATGATCCTCAGCGCCCCGGGAGATCTCCGCCGGTGAAGTCAATCTCCAACCCGCTTGTTCGCTCCCAGCCGGTCTACCGAGGTCCCACACAACGAGACACCATGGATGCTCTTGTGGTATGTGCTGTGCTCTTGATACTCTAGATTGGTTCTAAATTGTTGTATAGTCTCATCTGGACACCTTGGTCCAGAACCCGGATCTGGCCCCTCTTTTGTCGCTCCTCAAGGGTGTCCGAAATGGCGCCGTTTATGGCGCCAAAGTGCGCTTTCCGCATGCCTTGGTGTACGTTGCTTCTTTCCCAAGGGGATGAAGGAGTTGTTGATCGGATAATACTAATCCTGGCTTTTGTCTCTAACAGGATGATCTTCCTCTTCCGCTCCGGAACGTAAGAACGCCTCTGTCGCAATACTCTCCCTCCCCCGGCTAATCCCCGCTGCAGTTTCCGCGAGAAAGCCAAGCTTGTCTTCAAGGCGACCCGTCAGCATGCTCGCAACCTGGCGACATTTGCCTTCATCTACAAGAGTGTGATGCTGGCACTGCGCTATCTGAACCCCGCTGGTGTCGGGAAGGAGGGCCGGTACGACACCTTCTTCGCAGGCGCGCTGGGAGGTTATGCTGTGTTTGGACGGCACAAGACTAGTGTTACGCAGCAGGTGTGTATCCAACTTTCTTTTGTTGATGGCAGTTTTCTCGAAAATGGCGACAGTCAACTGACAATGACCACAGATCGTCATCTACGTGTTTGCGCGCGTGGTCCTGGCCGCCGGCAAACTCTCCGTCCAGCCCAACATGCACCCTTTCTCCTCCCTCATCACCCCCGACTCGCGGACGCAGATCCAGAATAACGCCTGGCCGGTGTTTGCCTCGCTCAGCTGGGCCTTCGTCATGTACATCTTCCGCTGGTATCCCGAAACTCTCATGTCGAGTCTCCGCAGCAGTATGGTTTACATGTAAGTCTTGCCTCCCTTTATGCTCTCTCTACTATGTCAAGATATTTGGCTAACAATCCTAGTTACGCCGACTCCGACCACTGGGACTCCTTCCGTAACCTCCTCATCCACAACAAATAGACTATCTTCCCATTATATTCCCGTCCCCCCCTTCTCCATCTACCCATCGACCCATCGTTCCTTCCGTCCCGTTCATGCCTCCCTCCTTCCCCACGGCTGGGCCCGGGTTTTCTTCTTGATTTCCATGGCGTATAGAGTTGGTGCATATAGTATTTTCATGGTTTTGGTCTTCCCCTTCTTGTCTATGTTTCCCTGGCTCCCGTTGTACCAATTATTCATATCGAATGGACTTGGCTTGTTGCCTTCGGTGCCGCAGGTTTTACATCCTACATGGATCAATGTTTGACAATGTGGCCAAACTCGTTTCTTGTTGTTCACTTGATTAGAATCACGACTCATTGTTGGACGACCTGTTTCACATCCCTGTCTCGGCTTCTCGTATTGCTGTTTGCTGCTTTCCGTCCAATATGGATTAGATCAGGATAGACCCGCCCAAAACAGCATTCCTGGCCAGCCATTGATATTAAAGGGTCTCGGGCCAGATGCCTGAACAGGAGGATCAGGAACTGCTCGTGTGCCGCGTGGTAAATCGATGGCTTAGGCAGGCTCCAGCTCGCGCGAACAAGTAGAAGGCTATTAACACCCTAACCATTCAGCCGCATTAGCCTGAAACACAATCCCTCAAAACATATTTTGTCGCAGTGCAAAGATGGCTATAAGAGGTGTCTAGATGTCTTTTGTAGCCGAGTGGTATCCTCTGCCACATACTCAAACCGACTGTTGACTGCTGATCATCTCGTCCTTATAACAACCCCGCTCCTGCTGCAGGATATTTTTTTTTTTTTTTTATCACCCTGCTGTAATCAACGCCATAGTATCAATCATCCACCGAAACAGATCGATCCTTTCCGCTCAGCCAAACAATGTCATCAGATAAAGTCGCCCGATTTACTCATGATGACTATACTGTGGCTTGGATCTGCCCAATGGTTGCCGAGCAGACCGCCGCTATAGTCATGTTGGACAGTGAACATGAGCGTCTGCCACAGCCATCGAGTGACCACAACGTCTACACTCTAGGCAGCGTCAACGGACATAACGTTGTGGTTGTTGGCCTCCACACCTCGGGCAATAACCCTGCGGCCGTAGTCGCGACGCAGATGAGAACGACCTTCCCTCGGCTCAGATTTGGTGTGCTGGTCGGCACAGCTGGTGGCGTACCGACAAGAACTACACAAGGGGACATTCGCCTCGGCCATGTGGTGGTTAGCCAGCCGATGGGCGAGCACTCGGGGGTAGTGCAATACGATCACGGGAAGGCCGAAATCGGGCAATTTCGACGCACAGGCTACCTGGCTTCGCCGCCAACGGTGTTACTCAATGCCGCTCGGGAAATGGACATACGGCGTCAATTTGTGCAGAAAGAAGACCCCCTTCTCAGTCATCTTTCGCGTATCGAAACACGTCTTCGGCACCCGCAGAGATATCGGTATCCTGGAGCTGACAAGGACCGCCTGTTCAAAGCAGAATATCTTCACCCTGACCCCAAGATTTCCTGCCGGGAGTGTGGATGCGACTCGAACTCCATTGTGCGTCGTCGCGCTGGTTATATTGATGATGATGATGATGATGACGATGACGCCGACGTGTTCGATCAAGACGAACAATTCGTGGTACATAGAGGAACAATTGCCACCGGGGAACGGGTGATCAATAATGGACATCTGAGAGACAAACTAGCAAGACAGTATGGTATCCTCTGTTTCGAGATGGAGGCTGCCGGGGCTTCAACCGACTTCCCTTGCCTTGTTGTTCGAGGCATCTCGCACTATTCAGACTCGCATAAGAATGATCGGTGGCAGGATTACGCTGCAGCAGCTGCAGCTGCCTATGCTCGGGAGCTTTTCTTCCACATGCCTGTGTATGAGGTGAAGCAAGTCAAGATGGCCGAGCACATATCAGTACGCAGTGCTAGATAAATGAAGAATCTTTTCACTGACTATTCCGTATATGTGGCACAAAAACCTCATCGTGTTGAAACAGAATACGTGGATGGCTCAACCTCCAACCCCCCCCCTGCTTGGTCAACCAGAGCAAAGCGCTGGAGGAACGACATACAGAAACAGGTTTCTATTCCATCCACAACCAAGAGTTTGAAGAGCGGATGTCTGGGACACCTCAAAATCTCTGGCTACATGGGATTATGGGATTGTACGGGAAAACCGTTCTGAGCACGACGGAAATAGAGCGCGTCACTCAACGACTTGATCCACGTGGTAATTCTGACTAGAGAAATAGTATAAGGGCATCACCGAACCCCAATGATCAGGCGAAGCAGCACTCGCTAGAATTGCGTAGGCTGGCCGGCCTGGATTCCCAGATGTTCCTGCTTCTATGATGTGTGGCAGTTAGTACGATAATGGTCTCCAGACAGCTCCTTCTGAAAGGTCGATGATCAGGCTTGCCTTGATCTGAATCTAAACCCACAATGCTCGAGTTTCGTCATGGCCGCCGTGGTTTCGAAGTTTCAATATGACGGGAACCATATAGCTCACTCAATATGCATTCTTGATACATAAAAAGCGACTTTTCCATGAAAAGGAAGGAAGAAACCCGGTGGATGCAGTCAAAGGGTGGGTGGTTTCGCATGACACTCTGGAGCGACTGAAGGTTGCAAAGATTGTATGAAAAATCAAGAATGAAGCGTGAGAAAGTCTCTACAAATCAGCTGCCTGGCCGAGGGCATTGATTGTCACCCATATTCGGAATCGCGTATTTTGGTACATGAACTTTGAAAAAAGGTCCGCGCTATACAGATCATGGCACAAAGTCTCGGGCATTTCAATATATGGCGCTGAACCGATGACTTGTCTATTCTATCTGACGCTCTAGTCCGGCTACTATCTAATGCCAATAACCCCACGAGGAATTCCATATGTGTACTCCAAACAGACGGATCTCTACAGCTTACTCCTCGGAGGAGCTACCAGTCTCTCCACCTCTGCGAAACGGTAATAGAACTCCAGACTCTGTGGGTTCAATAACGTGCCTGACGCCTTGACCTGTCTACCAGATACAATTTGCTTCACGGGCAGCTCTACCTTTTTCAGATTGACCGTTGTCTGGACATGTTAGTTCTCAATTTTACCTCACTCCCGGAGGAAGAACGGAAAGAAGAACGGGAAGAGAAAAGGGAAATAGGCGAGTGAGAAGAAGAGGAGGGAGAGAAAACGGGAAAGAGACGCGAAACGAGACACAAAACAAACGAAGAAAAGAAACATACCGGAATCTCAGGCGTCTCAAAAACATACTTCGGCACATGGCGCGCACTGAGGGCCTTTCGAATCGCCTCTTTTACTCTCCCGACCAACTCCAAGCTGAACGAAACCCCAGGCTGCATCAGCAGAAAGAGAAGCACAGACTCATCTGCATCGTGGGGACGGCGCTGGCCGACGCAGATAGAATCGGCGATTTCCTGCGGGAACTGCGTGTCGATCACGTTGTAGATCTCGCTGGAGCCGAAGCGGATGCCGGATGGGTTGAGGACGCCGTCTGAGCGGCCGAGGAAGAAGATTTGTTTCGTCACGGGATGGATGCTGATAAAGTCGCCGTGGGTCCAGACGTCTGTTGTTTTTGGATATGAGGGTTAGTTTGTGGCTGGGGTAGAAAGGAGAGGAGTTGAGGAAGAAAGTCTAGGGTTAAGGTGGAAAGGGAACGCACTGTCGAATCGGGCAAAATACGAATCAAAGTATTTCTGCGCCCCATCGTCTCCCAGGAATTTGACCGGCATAGTGGGAAACGCGCCGGGTGCTACTAGCTCACCGGGCACGCCGTCCGGCACAGCGGTGCCCTTGACACCGGAGGCGCCCTCGTCCGCTTGATCATACACCGCGATGGGGATCCCCAGACTGGGGCCCTGGCATCCGCCGACGTAAAGCGGCGTCAGCGGGTTCTCGAGTCCAAAGCAGGCGGCCAGGTCCGTGCCGCCGGAGATGTTGGCCAGCTGGGCACGGGCAGGGAAGCCGTGGTCGTAAAACCACTCAAACAGGGACTCGGAGAGTACCATGCCCGTGCTGGTGACGATGGAGAGATTGCGCAGGTCGGCGATCTCCCGTGGACTGACGCCATTCTTGCGCAGCTCGTGCAGGTATCTTGGGGACGTGCCGAAGTGTGTGACCTTGTATTTGTCCAGCAGGCGGATGAGGAACGTGACATCTGGCAGGAAGGGGCTTCCATCGTAGAGGATGGGTTTGCCTCCTATGGACAGACAGGAAACGGCGGACATGTACATGATCCAGCCGGTCGTGGTGTACTGCAGCACTGTCGTCTGGGGACCGTTGTTGCGGTGCAGGCGTGCCTCTTTGTTCGAGTTGAGGATGTACCCGCCTACTCCGTGGACGATCGGCTTCGGTTTGCCCGTTGTACCGGATGAGTACACAACGAGGAACGGGTCACGGAAGCCAACTCGCACGAACTCCAGCTGATCGGATAGAGCTTGGTCCAGGAAGGTGGCTAGGGTCTGGGTTCTGGGTAGGGTAGCCACATCGGCCGGCCGTCCAGGGAAGCGAGGCATCGTCACGATGCCCTTGAACTCCCGGACCCCTTCGAGACCGCTCACACAATCTGCAATCTTGGAGCGCAAGTCCGTTTGCTTTCCATTATAAACGGTAGCATCGTCGAAAAACACCCATTTCGGTTTAAGCTGCAGCAGTCGGTCCAGGATTCCCTTGACGCCGGTATCGGTCGAAGCCGATGAGAAGAGACCCCCGAGCGCCGTGGAAGCCAGGAGCACCACCACGGTATCGATGCTGTTACTCGCGACAACGGCAATGCGGTCACCCTTGACGACGCCGGCTGCCTTCAGCGCCTGGACCAGCCGACCCGTCTTTTGGCGCAATTGGGCCCAAGTGATGCTGACGGCGGGCTCGGAACCGCCCTCGCGGATCTGCGTCAGGGCGATCTTGTCGTCTTCTTTGTTCTTTTTCGTGACCGTGAGGGGTCCACTGATGGAATTGTCGGCTGTGAAGAGCATGTTTTCGGCGAAGTTGACACGGACGCCGTCGAACCAGTTGGGAATACTATCCATGCGGGCAGATTCGTCGAAGGAAGTGGTGTAGGAGCCTTCGTAGATGATGGGGAAGTATTTCCAGCAGAAATCCCAGAAGGCCGCTCGGTTGTTGATGCTCCATTGGTAGAGGTTGTTGTATGTCTGTTTTCAATCCAATTAATTCTCGTTGCCTTTTCTGTCTGGATGCTTGGAGGGGTACCTGGAAGATGACGCCCTTTTCCTGTTCGAGCTTGACTTTGAAGTCCCACATCTGGGTGGATTTGGGATCAGGATGTTCCCACAGCTTGCGGGGGAGGGGATATGTGGCCGTCATGTTGAATTGGAGTATACTGTTAGTATGTTGTATCTTTCGGTCTCAATCCCACGATGGGAGGGACTAGATATAGGGAAAGAGAGTAGTATATAAGAGTGGGTCTCTCGGAGTGCGGGGAAGTCTCCAAGATTACAAACTGAATATGGCAAGCTCCGACACTGGCGCCGAAAAGGACTTAGGTCGTCCTGGCTATACTGATTCTTATAGGTTTGGATGGTCCTATTCAATCTTTCGTGTTGCTTGATGTTTTCTAAACCAAAGCACTGCCGTAGGTAGATCCCCGGGGACCTCGGTATATATATGTACATAAACCCACATTTAACCAGCGTTGGATGAACATTCCATCCTTACGCCACTATGCTGGGATACTATGAAATTAATGTATAGCCCCATAAGTCAGAAGCGACAGTCGTTGTGGAATTATTGAATGTTGCTCGCACGCCATTTCATCTTGACCATTCGACCCAAAACACCAATCGGCGCGTGGGAGGATCTTGATATCCAGTCCATGTCAGCTGATCGGCAGAGATTTCCTCACACTGATCGTATCCACATTCTTCGTGTTTCTGAAGATATCTGTAATCTTTTTGTAGTATTCAATTATCGAAAACCGCCAACATCTTAGTTGTTTCCTCATTACCCCCGCCGTTGTGGTGTCAGGCGTGGGTCCAATCAACCCAAAGAATCCAACGACCCACATGGAAACACTCTTATCATCTACATCCCTCCTCATATTCAACCAAATAACATGCGACCCCTCAACCAATTCCCCCCCGAGCTCATCGATCACATACTCAGCTGCCTGTCCCGCTCAGATCTCAAAGCTGCCCGTCTAACATGCCGCGCCCTGAGCGGTATCGCAACACACTGGCTCTATCACTCCATCTACACACGCATCCCATCCTTCCAGAACAACGTCGTCCGCCAGGAAATTGAAGGCCTCCAAGAGCTCGTCTCGAAATTCGCACCACTAGTCCACAAGATTGACATCGACGGCGGAGATGACTATTGTCCGTTCGAAGTGGCCTCGTTCCTGGACAAGCTGCCCGCTTTGGAAAAGATTTACATGTGCGGCGTCCGTACATCGTGGTACCATGATCAGTTCTTCCACGGTGATTTTGAGAAGGCAATGCTTCGCGCGAGTCTCATCACTCCAATTGAAACCAGGATCCTGGCTGATTTAAAGTCTTGTACAACTTCCCTCATTTCCACCAGCCAAGGATTATAACTGATACAGCGGCACTTGAATAGTGACCCTGAAGGTCCACCAAGATCACGGAGACTGGATTCTTACTCATCTTGGAATTTTGTTCTTAATCCCCCAACTCCAGCAGTTAACCCTAGACCATATCGTTTTGAACTATGGGGATCCCGCATTCCCACGTCCTTGGTCATCGTCGGGGCTCACTCACTATTCCAATCAGACGGGTTTGAAGTCTTTATGCATTGTCGATTCTTATATTGATCTCCAGGCCCTGGAGGAGATTCTGTCTCCCCCCAAGGCGCTGACGCATCTTCGACTGGAGAGTCGCCATCCGGACTGCGACGAGCTACCCGATGGCTGGCAAGAAAGGACGTGTAACCGGGAGGCTATCTATCGTGCCATTGCACAGCAGAGGCTGTCGTTGGAGAAGTTGGACATTCAGTGGGATGTGCGGTCGGCCCCCCTGGAGGGACCCGGTTGGACGCGGGTTCGGTTCCCTAGGTTGAGGGAGCGTAAGGTAACTTTCGGGGCAATGGACGAGTCGCATCAATTCGAGATCGGTGATTTGAACAGTCGTAACGAGGGTGTTAGACACCCTAATGTGATTCCATGATGTCTAACTGTCTTACTCCAATCGACAAAGCAAGAGAAGAGAAGAGATGGAGCAGAGGCTATAGTCCCAGAGATTTATCAGACTCACAGTCAGTGTTAGCCCATGAAAGTTGTAGATAGAATATTGTTCCTATTGTATATATGCGTATTCTATATCAAACAAGACCCTGCAAACCCCCAACGATTTCCACAAGAATCTAGAGCTTTCCAACTTTCCAGGGTGGTTCAGTAGACCCTCTCCAGTTCATCATTCAAACAAGTTTCCCAAAGAATATATGAGATCACCAGAGACATTAATTATATGATTCTGCCGAGATATACTTCGTTGCCCAACCGAGCCGTCTCCGTCAACGGCTGCCAGCGCTGCGTAACTGACTAGGGCTCATTTTTGGCTAAAGAAGTACATGTTAGCCAGTGTTTCTATGACCTGTAGAATCAGTATCATTCTACCTACTGATAATTTATATAAAGTTATGATACACAATGAAACCATAAATTTCCACAGACGAGTTGGAAGAACATGAATATGATTTACGTCCTGCAGGAGAGAGGTAGAATAGTTTTTCAAATATTACCCACATTCTCTCATGCTCTATGCACACATTGCTTCATTATATCACCCTTCTGTCATTAATAGGATTGGAACTGTTAGAATAACTGTACAATAATGATTATACTTTCCAAATCAAGACAAACAAAATAATAACAGGGATTATGTGAGCATCGAATACAAGAGGATACCATGTCTATACGCTGTATCAATCAAGCAATGCCTCGGCTACTCGTTCTTCTCCCCTCCAGATGCGGGGAAATTTGAGGCATCTCCTCGCACAGCCGCGGTGCTATATTTCCTGGTGTGAGACTGGTGAGAAATGGGATTGGATGTGTCGAAATATACATCGTCTTCTTTTGACTTTTATTGGGTGAAATTGGGGGTTCCATGTACCGAACTCTGGTTGTTTTGAAGTTGTACATAGGCAAGGCACCCTTGGCCGACTGAGGATTGATATCCTGACTCTATTACTTTATTTACACAAGTTAGGGTCTTCTAAAACTATTGTCTGTTAGGATACTTTCCACAGCTTGTTTCATAATTTAGAGTAGTCTGATAATACTCATATAGTAAGAGAAGAAAGAAAACCCTCTGTTGTGACACATATTTACGTCCTCTTGGCCAAAGTCTGCCATGCGGCGACTCGCCCCAAAGAGGCATTTATACATACAGAAACACCTATATATGCGTTCAACACAGCGCCCACGTCTACTTCCTCAGCCCCAGAGACACTTACAGGACTCCTCTGTCGCCTTGATTGCGCCCGGCTTCAGTGTATTGACATGCTGCCACATGAACTGCCGAGAGGTACTGTGTACCTCGTCGGCGCCAACCAGGATATCTTCCGCCCCCACGCCGCCGTCTGCCGTAAAGACTTGAATCCCGTCATTGGTGTGCTGGATTGAAGTCGCACACTTACCAGTGACAACCCGTGACTTATCGGGGAGGCGACCGTAGAGCATCTCCACAAATACTTGTCGGTCCAGGGCCAGTGTAGGGTATCCTAGGCTTCTCGCAGTGAAAAATATGGTTCCATTTCGCCGGACTCCTAAAGGATCCAACGGCATATACACACCATTCTTCCCAATGCGTGGTCAATGCTGATCGCCTCAGAATCTCTCCATCAGGCGTCCTCCTGTACTCAGTGTGTATTGGACTACAAGTCTTCAGGAAATCGGCACTAGGTGCCTCGCCTTACCTGCGTCCGGACAGAAATGGCCCATATTCCCAACCACGCCACTAAATGATCCAGAAAATCCTAGAACGGGGACACGAGTACTCCAGCCTGTCCGAGCATCAAGTCGCATGGGCCGAGGACCAGGATCCGTCAGGTCACGTCATGTTCCAATCATATTTCCACATCACGAGCAGATGCTTCATCCGCGTGTGGGGGACGTTCGAAGAGCAATTGAAAGACAAGTTCGCTGGCTTCATGAACGGCGGCGGCATCGGTGCTGTCAGCAAATCGTACAATGTGTCCGTGAAACGTGTGGCTAAGTATCCTGACTTGGTATGTTCCCATAACTATCCCATCCGTGGCGAAGATAATCGGTGCAGACTGACCAATGGCGGGGGTCGGGGAAAATCAAAGCTCATCACCAGCTTCCGCCTCACTGATGTACGCCCTGATCGATACCTTGGCCACTACCCGGTGTGGTCCGTCCGACAGAAAGCCCTGGTGGCTGACTTTCGATGTCTGGGTGGTGTTCTTTAACACTTAACCATCGGACGGGGAAAGCTGCTAATCTGCTCGAGAAGGGCGGCGTCTACAGTGATCTACACGCTGCGCTGCAAAGACGATGTGCAGAGTCCAAAGAGGTCGAGAGGAGATAGAAATAGAAAAGTGCTGCCACTGGTGGATCAAAGCTGTAGCCAAGTCTAGAGGGCTTGGTATCGTTACAGTGCCATTAGAATGCGCCTGTAATCCAAGCCGCGGTGTTCGTGGTTGTGAAACGTCTTGTATATTTACAATGGGAATATTGTTTTCTTTATGTCTCCCTATAGACATGTAGTTCTTCTAACTCTCAAGAAGCACCTCTGTGTTTGTATAGCGCCCACACTTCACTTTCTACCGCATAATCAGTGTTTGTTCAATATTAGAGTTGAAACAAACCCCTACCAATCGGATGCATAGATTGGACTAACAAGCTAATCTCAATGATCATCCTTGACAACAATTGTATGGCGGGTCCTTTACCAAATTGAGGTTAGCAGCTGGCCCTAATCGCTTGAGTCATAGTTTTCGACCCCCACACCGTTCTAGTCATGATCTATTCTAGACATAGTCACTGACAACCAGGTGTCTTGCCCATGTCGTCCTCCCCTGCTGCTGCGGATATACATGCCCACCCAGTCTCGTCGAGCATGGAGATCGCTATGTCTGAGATTGGAGATGTAGCTTTGGTGGGCCGCCAACGGAGCGGGCCGAAGGACGAGGAAATGACACGGCCCTTGTCTCAAGGAGATCGCGAGGGATTCGACTCGTTGCCGATTGCGAGCGAGGTTCGCAGCAAGTGGAAGATATGTGCAATCATGATTGCGCTCGCGGTAAGGGGAATCCACCAACGCTGACGCGGATAAGACGGGGCCATTGTCTGGGTAGATCATACAAGGACTACTGACGATTCACCGACTGACTCACATCTCTCTCTCCAGCTCGGGATGTTTGTCGCTGCCCTCGATCAAACGATTGTGGCTACTGCGACCCCCACAATCTCCGCGGAGCTGCACTCGGCCGCCGGCTATGTCTGGATCGGCGGCGCCTATCTTCTGGCCAACGCTGCCAGCTCCAATATTTGGGTCAATCTGTCGGATATTTGGGGCCGCAAGCCCATTCTGCTGGCGGCAGTCGCGCTTTTCTTTGGATCCTCGATCATATGTGCAATGGCGGTCAACATGCCCATGCTGATAGCTGGCCGTGGGCTTCAGGGCGTCGCCGGTGGCGGCCTCCTCCAGCTGGTCATCGTCGCCATTTCAGATCTGTTCAGTGTTCGGTATGTCTCCAGGGAAGTCGACCGTGCGGAACCCACGCGCTGACTCTGCACTAGACTTCGCAGTCTGTTCATGGGCCTGATGGAGTTTATTTGGGCCATTGCGGGCGCCCTGGGTCCCATCGTTGGTGGTGCCTTGACCCAGTCGGTTTCATGGCGGTGGGTTTTCTGGATCAATCTACCCGTCTGCGGTGTGGCCTTCATTCTGCTCCTCGTATTTTTGGATGTACACAACCCCAGAACCTCCGTCATCGATGGTATCAAAGCAGTCGACTGGTGGGGCAGTTTTGCCATTCTCGCCCTGACGGTCATGCTCCTGCTGGGCTTGGACTTTGGAGGGAACACCTTCCCCTGGAGCTCGGCTAAGGTCATCTGTCTGATTGTCTTTGGCGCGCTGATGTCGCTCGTGTTTATTTACTGCGAGAAACGCCTTGCAAAGTACCCGCTGATGCCGTTGGGGATCTTCAAAACTCGATCCAACATCGCCTGCTTCCTGGTCGATTTTACCCATGGGGTTGTAAGTGTCTTTCTCACAATTCAACTTACCAAAGACAGACCTCTTCTGACTGTTGATAGGCCTACATAGGAATGGAGTATTACCTCCCTCTCTATTTTCAGTCGGTCCAGATGGCCTCCCCGTTTCGCTCTGGTCTTCTTCTTCTCCCCTTCATTTTAACCGAAGCCTTGCTGAGCCTCGCTGCGGGGCTCATCATCCACGCCACCGGTCACTATCTGGAGGTTATCTGGATCGGCATGACGCTTGTCGTCCTGGGAGCCGGACTTCTCATTGACTACGGCATTGACACCTCCCTGGGGAAGATCATCGGATATCAGATGGTGGCCGGCTCGGGCTGTGGGCTTCTCTTCACCCCGCCACTTATCGCCCTCCAGAGTGGCATCAAGCAGAGTGAAACGGCCAGCGCCACGGCGACCTTCGGCTTTATCCGCAACGTGGCCATGGCGCTGTCTGTGGTCATCGGCGGAGTGGTCTTCCAGAACGGCATGAACACGCAGCAATCCAGCCTCCGCAGGGCCGGCCTTTCCCCGTCCTTGATGGCGGAGTTCACGGGAGCCGAAGCCGCCGCCAACGTGGTGTCGATCCATGCGGTCAAGGATCCCCAGCAGCGACAGGCTGTCACGAGCGCCTTTGCCTGGGGTCTGCGCAATATGTGGATTCTATACACCGCTCTGGCCGCATGTGGACTGATCGCCAGTGTTTTCATTCAACGCCAGCATCTCAGCCAAGAACACGTTGAAACGAAGACTGGACTGAAGGAGAAGGAGGCATCTGCAGTTTCCAACGTCCCCCTTGATTCTGGTTTGCCTAGCACCTAAAGTCAGGGTCCACCTGCTTCACGTCTTATCGAACTTGGTGACAGATCATAGTACACCTCAGTTGTTCTGCAGAGGATTAAAATTCATTTCGGGCATTTCACGTACATATCAGACAAAAAGCTTTTCGGGATAGTTCAAAACAGCGATAGGAATCAATAGAGATCGGAACTTACCGGTGGGGCCAGAGCGGCGACTGCCGAAACCCTAAAATCGTACTTAATCTCGCCGTCTCCCCATCTCCTCATCTCCCCTCATCTTCTCCATCTCTTTCATCTTCAATTGCGACAAGGCTGGTCCTTGCTTTAATTCCCATAATTGATCGCATACTCAAACACACCATCTTTCCCCACTCAGTATCCCCCCGATCATTACAATGGCCCCCCGCCTCACCTCCAATCCCAGCCTAAGCGTTGCCCCCGAACCCCTCACTCGGGATGCCTTCGCGCCCTTTGGCACCGCCGTCTACTCCCCTCTCCCACGCGACTTCTCATCACCCCCATCGTCCGTATCTTCCCTGACACCACACGATCCCGCGCCCGTGCTCGCCAACCAGAACTCGGCGCTCAAATACAGCAGCATCTCCCCACTGCTGAACGAGTACCCGGATCGCTGTCCCAGCGGGAAGGCCTCCTCCGGCCGCATGACCATGTTCTCCTGCTTTCCGCGCTCGCTGCGCACTGTCCAGTCGTCGTCGCGATCATCTGCAGTCTTCGACGTCCGCATCCTCGAGCGCCACCCCTTCACCACCCAGACATTCACCCCCATCGACCTATCCTCGCAGACGCGCGCCGGCGACCACGAAGAGCCCTTCTTCCTAGTAGTCGTCGCTCCAACCCTCAAGGGCACGACTACGACTGCGAAGACGACTAACGGAGATACCGTCACCGTCCAAGACCCGCCGGATTTGTCGCGCTTGAGAGCCTTTGTAGCCCGCGGCGGTCAGGCGGTCACTTACGGGGTGGGGACGTGGCATGCACCGATGGTTGTGCTGGGGCCGAGACGCGTGGATTTTGTGGTCGTGCAGTTTGGGAATGGGGTTGATGAGGAGGATTGTCAGGAGGTGGAGTTTGGGGAGGGCGTTGTTGTGGATTTGGGGGGGAGGGGCAGTGGGAGCGCGAGGCTTTAGTTGATAGAATGGAGGATGATATGTATAAAAAATCTAGAAGAGGAGATGGTCCTATTTAGTCAAGGATGTCCCCATATGTAACTATAATACTGGCCGTAGAAATCGGACTTCCGTATACGTTTTTTTTTTTT